CAACTGACGATTTGTGCATGTTTATGTACTATTCTGCATTACATTCTATGCTCACACTTAGAAGAAACTCTTGAAACCTTGCAAAAAAGTGTGCCCTCGGCTTCTTACTTTTTTATTTTATTGATTTTTTACAGAGGAAGAGCGAGGGATTGAGGGTTAGAAACATCGATGAGAGAGAATCATCGATCAGGTGCCTCTTGCACCACCCCTACTGGGGATGTGCCCGCAACCAAGGTACATGCCCTTGACCGGAATGGAACCCGGGACCCTTCAGTCCGCAGGGCCGACGCTCTAGCCAGAGCCAAGCCGGTGTCGGCGTGCCCTCGGCTTCTAATCCAACTCAATCCATACTGGGACTGGCTCACCTTTACATGTTGGCTGCAGCACTAAGTGAGCTGCGTGACTGAGGGTAAATCACTCAAAATTGCTGAGACTGAGTATCCTCACCTGTAACTCAACGTGTTTGAGGTTTAAGTGAGATCAAGTCTGTTAAATCCTGGCACACAAAAAAAGAATCACTCTACAAACAGCATCCCTGAAGACGGCACGGGGGAAGGTCGCAGAGTTGGAGACGCGTGAACGGGCCGGGGAAGGGACCCAGAGCCTCTGCCAGGAGAAGGGGAGAGGGCAGAAGGCGATCGCGGCGAGTCTGAGCAGCAGGACTCTGACCAGACACAGACCGGGGGCTGGTCCAGAGACGACGACGCTGGGACAGAAAAAGGCGGCCAATGGCTCTCCGCGGGGTGAGGGTTTAGCTTGGGGTACCCAGGCCCGTGCTCCTTTCCGGGGCCCGGGGATGACTCAGGGAGTCGGTGAGTTCCTCCCCTCCCGGCCCGCGGTCGCGTCTCGCCCACCAGCCCCGCGCCCCTGCCCCCGGCCCCCCCAAGCCTGCACGCGCCCCGACCCCGCCCCGCCCCTCGCGAAGCCCCTCGGTTGTTACTCACCAAACCATAGTGCTTTCCAACACCATCTTGCCACCTTCCTCCCTCCCAGACCCGGTCTCCTGGACCTCCTAACACCGCCTCCTCCCATTGGCCCGGCACTCACAACCAATCCCAGGCCGCTGCTGGCCCGGCTGGTTCCGCCCCCACCCCGCGCTGCGTTCTGGGAGTTGTAGGCGCAGCCAAAATACAAGCGATCCGAGGGAGGCGGGGTGGCTGAAGTGACACAAAAAATGTTACCACCCCACCGTTCGAGTTCTCTGGTGGAGTTCCCTGCTGGAGGAGGGGATCTAAGAGAAGCTGTGGAGGAACCTTTTGAAAGTGCTCCAGCACCCATCATTTTCAAAAAGTGGTGGGGTCAGTTTTTTTTTTTTTTTTTTTTTTTTTTTTTTTTTTTTTGTTTTTAAGCATCCACTGTTTCCCATAGCACTTTGTTCATCTAACTATTAAATCCTTATCCCTATGAATTGCATTTATTTGTGATCTCTATCTCTCCCATTTTAAGGTAACTTTATTGCCCTAACTGGTTTGGCTCAAAAGATAGAGCATCAACCTGTGGACTGAAGGGTCCCAGGTTTGAATCTGGCCAAGGGCACATGCCTGGGTTGCAGGCTTGATCCCCCAGTGGGGTGAGTGCAGGAGGCAGCCAATCAATGATTCTCTGTCATCATTGATGTTTCTCTCTCACACTCCCTCTTCCTTCCTCTCTAAAGTCAATAAAATATATTTAAAGATATATACTCTACTGATTTTTTACAGAGAGGAATAGAGAATTAGAAACATCAATCAGTTGCCTCCTGCACACCCCCTACTGGGGCTGTGCCCACAACCAAGGTATATGCCCTTGACTGGAATTGAACCTGGCACTCCTCAGTCCCCAGACTGACACTCTATCCACTGAGCCAACCAGGTCAGGACTCTATCTCTCCCATTTTATTAGGTCATGAAACATGTCAATCATTGCAATCTCTGAGCCCAGTACAGTGCCTGACACATAGTAGGAGCCCAGAAAAAATCTGACAAATCAGTAATTTTAACAAGTCTCCCAAAGAATAGGAGACAAAACCAGTAAACCATTTTGATTTGTTAATCAAGAATAACATTTTTAAATGCTTTGGATTACTTTCCACTACTCACACACGTCTGGAAATCCCAGGTGTCTTTCTTGGAGGGAAGAGGGAAAGAAGGAAGGGACCAATCATGGCAACAGGACACCAAACTTGGAAGCAGGGGAGAGGAGTGTTGTAGATATTGCTTATATATTGGTAAAGTTTCAATGGATATGTTCAAAAGTTACTGGTTACCATCACAGATTGTTTAAGAGTAAAATCTCCATATCATTAGGGGAGGGGAAAGACAGACAGTAAATGAGTAAGTAAATATAGTCAAATAATGATAAGCATTGCAGAGAAAAATAAACTGGGGTGGTTCTAAGGAATAAATAAGACATTAGAGAGCCTTACATTTGAACAGACACCTGAAGGGTACCTGGGGGAAAGCACAAGGGCAAATGACCTCCGTCCGGGGCTCAAACCTACCTCCTGGTCACAGACCATTATGGCGAGGAGCCAGAAGGCCATTCTGGGGAACCGTACTGGAAGCCAGTGCCTATTCCTTAATTGCATTCCAAATATCCAGGCTAGTCCTGACCACCATTTCATCATCCCGAGATCCTACCCTTGCCCCAAAACTCCCATCTGGGCCCACAGCGCCCCCTAGTGACCACACCTTGATACAGCACCCATACCTAAATCCCCGTACCAGACCTTCATAGGGGGGCCGAGAAGGGCAACCCTGGGCCCAGGTCACAAACTTGGAACACAGAGTTGTAATAAGGGACTAGATCTCTAAGCATAACCCCAACAACTATTCCATAACCCAGATGTTCCAGTGAGGTACCAGACTGCCCCCGGGGCTCAGACTTCTCTCTGGGCCCAAAGGCCCTCACAGGATCCAGACCTCCACCTGGGGCTCATACCTACATCTGGGACCCAGACTATCATGGCGGGGCCGAGAAGATTATCCCGGGGCCCAGGCCTCAAACACAGAATCCAGACTTGTATCCTGGGTGTACTTCTCAATTTGTAACCCAGACCACCATTTCCATAACCCAGACCTCCCCCTGGGGCATAGACATACCTCCTTGGCCCAAACGACCCTCCCCGAACCCAGACCTCTATCCGGAGCTGAGACCTACATCCGGGTCCCAGGCTACAAACATGGAATGTAGTTTTGTGAACCAAATGTTCTTTGCTCACACTGAGGGCATTTTGACAAAATTTTGGGTTATTATTAAATCCCCATGAACGGGGAAAAAGAAGGAAGAAAGGAGAGGAGAGAAAATGAGAGGAGAGGAGAGGACAGGAAAGGAGGGAGAGAGTGCGAGAGAAAGAGAGATCGAGAGAGATTGAGATTTTTGTCCCACTAACCTTTGCATTCATTGGTTGACTCTTGTATATACCAACAAAGGATTGTATCCACAATCTTGGCGTATTGGAATGATGCTGTAACCAACTGAAGTGCCCAGCAGAGCTTTTATTTTTTAATAAGAGAAAGGGCATTTGACATAAAGAAAATGAAATGAAAATGGCGGTGGTTCTCTGCCCATTATATAGAAACGCCTTCTAGAATATGTGTCACCTGGTGGGCCAGAGGCTTTTCTAATATCTTCGTTTTAGGTTGTACAATTAATGGCACTTATTATCAACTAGAGGCTGGGGGCAGAAAATTCATGCACGGGAGTGGATGGGGGGTGTCCCTCAGACCAGCCTGCACCCTCTCCAATCTGGGACCCCTTGAGGGATGTCCGACTGTCCACTGGAATCGGGCCTAAACGGGCAGTCTGACATCCCTCTCACAATTCAGGACTGCTGGCTCCCAACTGCTTGCCTCCCTGCCTTCCTGATTGCCCCCAACCGCTTCTGCCTGCCAGCCTGATCACCCCTAACCACTCCCAGGCCAGCCCAATTGATGCCTAACTGCTCCCCTTCCAGCCCTCTCCTTCCGGGTTGATTGCTTCCAACTGCTCTCCCTTGCAGGCCTGGTCCCTCCCAACTGCCCTCCCCTGTTGGCCATCTTGTATCCACATGGGGGCAGCCATATTGTGTGTTGGAGTGAATGGTCAATCTGCATATTACTTTTTTTTTAAAAATATATTTTATTGATTTTGTACAGAGAGGAAGGGAGAGAGATACAGAGTTAGAAACATCGATGAGAGAAAGTCATCGATCAGCTGCCTCTTGCACACCCCCTACTGGGGATATGCCCGCAACCAAGGTACATGCCCTTGACCGGAATCGAACCCGGGATCTTTCAGTCCCCAAGCCGACGCTCTATCCATTGAGCCAAACCGGATTCGGCTGCATGTTACTCTTTTATTAGATATGATAGAGGCCTGGTGATATAATTAACTTAGTGATGCTTAAGTTTAAGAACACAAACGGAAAAAAAAAAATCTGGGAATATTAATCCAGAGGGGAATGTAGAGAATGCCCCTGTCTTCCCCTGAGCTATGTATTAGAACACTTGAGAGGTTTGTAAAAAACACAAATCTGCTTAATTAACACAGAACACCTGAATGGTAAAAGCTCATTTTTTATTTATATGACAGTGCAATCCCAAGAGGACAGAGCAGATAACTACATTACATTCTTAGAGAGTTTCTGCTTTCTACTAGCTTTATCTGACTGTATTAGCTCACACACACATGCCAATGCAAAAGAAATAACACATACTGGACTAACTACACAAAGACCTCATTGTTGGAACATAAACCAGGATTATGATAATGTTTTCACAGCTTTGCAATTGTGGGGATAGAATGGCATTATGGGAGGAGGCGGAGGGCCTTCGGAAGTGCTCCTTACTGCCAGTGGTGAGCAAGGACCAAACACACACCATGGAACACACACTAGCTCTTACAGCAGCATGGGCAATGTACTGTAACCTGTGCAGACTCCCTATAGAATTCCTCTACCATGAGAAAAATCCTTTATTTTTTCCTGTATCTATGTGTAATCAAAATTTCATGATAAATAGTGCCTTACATCTTTTTTTGGGGGGAGGAAAAAAAAAAGTTCTGAATGCAAGACTGTGTATAACACACAGGACTCTAGCTTCCATGTGATAACCTATACCCCAACAGTAAAGATCTTTTGATACTAGAGTTTCGACTTCCGCCTGTGCCTACTCAACATTCTTTCAGAAGGGATATTTTATAAAATATAAAAACCAATGTACCATCTCGAGGTCAGGCTCAGTGACAAAAATGCACCACCTGAACCTGGTAAAACATCGACTCTTCGCCGCATGTTAGCTGCTTATAAAAACAGTAGCTGCACTTTCCCGTGATCCATGCAGGAAACGTTCATGGAGATCAAGCAGAACAGAGACGTCCTTCAGCTATTACAGGAAGCCCAGAGTCCAGAAGTCTTATGGACAGAAAGAAAAGCACGATGGTTGCCCCAAAGCCGAGCCAGGTTGAGTCAGCCCTGGGAAGGCTGGCTGAGGCACCACAGGGACGCTGAACCCCGAGTCAGGAAAGTTCCAGTGTGTGATACGGGTGAGACCCACCATTCCTTGTGCCTTTAGTGACTGTCCTTTAATGAAAAGCTGAAACGCTTCTAATCCTGGAACAGCTCACGATGGGTCCTTAAGGCAAATGCCAGGCATTAGAGAAACCATAGGGCCATTTCAGAATGCATGATCAAGTCACTGACCCAGGAGTTATGTCCAGGAACACTACTCACAAGAAGACCTCCCTGACTCTTGGGTTTTGAAGTTCATGTGGCTTTTACATCCAAGGAGTGCTGCAATTTTTTCCTTTGTGGATAAAGGTTCCAGAGTGGATAAAGGTTCATGATGTTGCTTTAAAAACAAACAAACAAGCAACCAGTGTGAAGAAGCTACTCAACTGCTAAGCTGTGTGAGGTTTGTTTCTGCTTGGCATTCACAGCTTACTTTTGTGGTTGGCATAGGGAAAGCCGAACTGAGCGATCATGAGGTTGGAGTACTTGAGGGGCATGCCTCCGTAGACGCTGACGAGCTTATTGACGCAGTAAGACCTCTGCAGGAAGTGCTCTGCTCGATGCCACATTCCCGAATGGCCCCCACTGGTTTCTTTCTCCAAGTTGCCCATGTTCACAGGCTTTACAAACACCCCCGAAGTCTTCCCCGTGTGCTTGGCAATGAGGAAGTTCATGGCAATGTCATCACAGTTTTGTGTGTCATCGATCAGGGCGTGGACGGCTGCGGGCTGCCTCTGGAAGAGCTCGAGGTACTTGCTGCTGAAGAACGAGGCCCCAATCAGCACCATGGAGTACTGGTCACCGTCCCCCACGCCCGGTGTCTGCAGCTCAAAGCCTCCGTAGCTGTAGACGCCTGACGCAGTGGAAACATGCTTCCTGGGGACAAATCCTACAATTTGGTCAGGAAATTGCTGAACAGATGGAAAAAGAACAAGTGAGTGGACATTTCTTTGGAGCAGACATAGTGGAAAGGCAATGACTTATTACAGAGAGAAGGAAATAAATCTGCTAGCTTCATTTGGTTCCTGTTTCACTGAACTCCAAGGCAACTTCGTATGTCCAGATCCTGCCACGTTCACAGCCAAATTGCTTCACAGCCCAAATCCCTAGCCTCGCAGACGTTCTGATTCAAACACAATCTGTATCAATCACTCTGGTCACCAGAGGCTGGATCTTGCCAGCTCACCTCGGGGAAGCAGGCTGTATGAATGCTGCATATTCCAGGAAACATGACATAGTGCGATTCTTTCGAAAACTGTTCTAATCTCTTAGGATTATGAGTCTACATGTACGAGTTTACTGTATTTCCACGTTGATACCAAATTTCCTGAAAGTCACTGTTGATTTTTTAGACAAAGTAATATCTTTATCCCTTTTCAGCCTGGTGTTTCCTTTTAAAAAATATGAATATATATATATATATATATATATATCTCCTACATAATAATAGAGTAATATGCAAATTAACCATCACTCCGCTACACCCACCAGCCATGCTCACCAACCAGAGAATGCAAATTAACCCAACAAAGGTGGTGGTTAATCTGTATACGTGAAGGGAGGGAGGAGTGAAACTGAAGATAGCATAGAAGGAAAAGGGAGGGAAAGTGGAAAGCAAGGCGACTGCAGCTACTGGAGAAAAAGCACTGGCAGTGCGTGCGGGGGAGGGGGGGGGAGGGACGGGGGGGGGGGCAGGCGAGGTGCGCAGCGGTGGTGGCAGTGCGTGCAGCCTCGGAGATGGTGGCTGTGGAGGAGGGCGCATTGGGGCGGGCGGGACAGGTGGGCAAGCAGGAGAGGTGCGGTAGTGGGAGTCTTGCATGTATATTCCTGCCAACAGGTCATTAGAGTGTGTGTGTGTGTGTGTGTGTGTATAAAATGAGATGTGTCAGGATGACTGAAGAAAGGAGAGCAGTAACACAATATTATTAAGGGTAGAGTGACTAAAACAAATCAACAAGTAAAAGAAAACCAGTAAAGCATGTGAAAGAGGTAAGAACAGACTCTCCAGAATCTCTCTCTCTCTCTCTCTCTCTCTCTCACACACACACACACACACACACACACATATACACACATACACATCCTCTTTCTCTCTCTCTCTCTCTCTCTCTCTCTCTCTCTCTCTCTCTCTCTCTCTCTCTCTGGCAGGGTTTAAATCCCATTTCAAAGTGCGCATGGAAAAGGGGTTCTATGGAAAATAACCTCATGGTGATCTGATCATAAATTCCTAATTGGGCAAGTTATGGTGGGTAGTCATTTCCCAGGCCTATGACTTCTTTAGTAAAAGGTTTCTCTTTGCCTTACGCAAGCCCTGTCCCTTAGCACACCTTTGAAATGAGCAAAACCACCCTTAGGAGAGCACATAATCTTAACTATACTATAATCCAACTATTTTCAACAGGTTGCTATAAGAATGTTTAAAACATGTAATATCTGACTAAGTCAGGAGCACTGATCTTTTTCCCCTTAGATTGCCATATTAAAAAAAAAAAAATGACAACGGCCAATACAACAATAGCTGTCTTGTGTGAGTAAATAAAAATTATACCTATTTTTTGTCAGATCAGCAAAAAATACATTTTAGGGGATGCAACAGAATTCTAACTAAGGAGGTTACTACCGTGCAAATCAGACCATTTACTGGGGAGCACCTTGTTTAAATGTTGGACAGGGTTTCAGTATTTGTCTGCAGTGTGGTTTCAGGTAACTAGTGCAACTGCTAAAAGTCAGCCACAGCTAACACACGGTCAGCAGGAAGTGCTGTATTTTTAGAATGGCGGGCCGCTGAGCAATCTGTGCCTGGTCATCCAGCAGGATTTAGGAAAAAAACCACACATACCTGTCACAGCAATGGTACATGCAGAATTGTCATTACTGACTTCTAAACAATGACCACAGAATCAGGAGTAAATTTGCTGGCTATAAGGGTTGTTTTCTTTTAACAAAGGTTAATACAAAAATACACTTCTCATCTGAGACATGCCTGTGTCCCTGCGAAAACATCTCTGGATGCCAGTCTTTGCTGGACTACACACCAGGTCATTTCCGCACTGCTCCCCCCCCAGAACCTCACAGATAAGTCAAATATGGATAAAGGACGCATAACCTGCAGGCTGGCTTAAAGGAGCACAGGAAGGCTCGATGACCACATCACAAATGACGCTCTCTTTTGGACAAAATTGCCCAAGCTGTGTTGGATGACACCACATTAAACCCACACTGCTCTAGCTAACACCAGACAGGACTCCATGCTAAAGAGTTCACAAAAGACTGGGCAACCTTACCTGCCAAACGGAGAAAGCAAACACAAGGTCTTGGGCGCTAATTAGCATGTCGTCATCGACCATTAACACGGCTGAAACGAAAGGGAAAAATTGAAAACCGAATCATTTGGAAATGAAAACACAATGAGTAAGATGCACCAGTGTCTATATAGATTGTTCACATGAGGTACTAACAAAATTAGTAAGTAACTGTATTCTTGGAGAGAATTGTCTAGCAGAAATTTTGATTTGAACGGTAATTGATTTTTATGATTGTCTGAGGGGGAAATTATCACCTATTATTGTAGAAACTATATATTGATATAAATAACACCGAGGTTCTTTAAAGCAAATGATAACCTGTGTGACTGCTATGTAGAAGGCGGTGGCAAGAAATACATTAAGCATACGTGGCCTCCGCTACCTCTGTGACGCAGCATGTGCAAGCACAGCATATCTGCCTTTGCAATCGCAACCTCTTGTCCCTGCTATCACATGTATGTGCTTTCCTCCCCACGAAGCTGCTTCTTGACATCCTGGGAACTGTCCCTGAAGTTCTCAAAGTGCTTTCTAATGACTAAACTTCCCCCATCTTCTCTAGGCCATTAAAGACAGGAGGAGTCCAGCCATCCGCCTACAATCCAGCTCCCTGTGTTGCTATGACTCACCCTGGGTCTCCAGTTCTGGGAAGGCCTGGAGCCGATTTCTCATCCTGTTGGTGGTCTGGGGTTTGAAGATCACGGGCACGGGGTGCGGCCCCAGAGAGTTCCACAAGTCCTCCGGTGGCTTCTCCCCAACATTGTTCCACACCACGATGGCTTTGTGCAGCTGCGGCACCGCCTGGTAGTGATTGAGCAGCCGCAGCAGCAGATCAGACCTGTTGTACGTCTGCATGATGAGAGTGAAGGAAGCCAGGGCGGACTGGCCCTGGGCCTTCACCTCCCTCCGCCACGACAGCATCTTGTCGTCTTTGTTGTTGGGAAGGAGAGTGGTCAGCGCCCCAGCCACCAGGAGCAGCACGAGGATGGCCACCAGAGAGAGGCGGAGCACGCGGGCGCCCAGCACTCGGCCGGGAAGTTTGCAGATGTGGTAACACCTGGAGGAGAAACAAAACATCAGCCTTCTCATGCGTCTCCGTGCTTGTTAATGAGAAAATCGGTTCATTTTATCTTACGTGGTTCAAGTTCACTTTCCCCGCCTCCCTGATAAGGTGATTTGGGCTAAGGCAAAAATAAAAAGGCCCCAAAATAAAAAATAAAAAGGAATGACCCTCCCTCCTGGATCTTCCTGCTTGGTAGCTGCCGACAAAAGACCTATACGCCAAACAGGAAGAGTCCACATTTTGCTATTATGGATAATGCTGCTATGAACATTCATATACAAGTTTTTATGTGAATGTGTTTTCATCTCTCTCGGGTATATACTTGTCTTTTAAGAAAGACCTTATGGCATTTTCCACAGTGAAAACTGCCCAGCAATCTGGCATTCTCCCTTCTCCCCACCCCCCACCCCCTGCCCGCCCAGCTCCAAGAGCTTATACAAAGCATCACATTCCTCAATACTTCTTTAAGCAGCCATTATCTATGAGCTAGGTTGCTTTATCATCACTGCTTTAGAAGGAAGTAATATATACTGTATGTATAAAGTTTTTTCAAAGCCCTGCCTCCTGGAACCAGCTGTCTGTTACTAGGCAGACAGTGAGGTCCTCTTTCCCCTCGGAGTGCACAGGTCTGAATTGTGCTAGATAAAACCTCCTGCTAGCCTGACATCTTTCTCCTGGAATTGCCTCCTGATTGCAGCTCCTGTGTGATGATGATGATGATGGGGTTTGGAAGTGACATAGATTGGGGCAGAGGAAGGAGTGGCCTTATTCCTAAGAGAACATTATGACTGTAAGGATGCGAGGCATCAATGCATCCTATGAAGAAAGCCTAGAAATAGAACGGCATTTTTAGCTCAACACAGTGCTATTCGAAATTAGTTCCAGAAATGAGTTGGAAAGAAGCACAGTACCGCTGTAAACACATCACTCTCACCAGGCCGGGCCGGGTACTGGAGCTTTGCATGTGAACCTCTCTCTGCTTTAGGCACACGGAAAAAGAGGGGAGGCAAGACTGGAATATTCTATGGGCCCCTCTCCCAGTATTTACTAGTACATACACAATACTGGCTTTCAGCAACTGGCTCTCATCTGTAATCATCTCTCTGAGAGAAACAGATTTTCATACACATAATGTATAAACAGTTTTAGATATCAGAGCTAACATGGAAGCAATCTCAATTCATATGGGCTTTCTAACTTTATTAAAGGAAGGTTATATAAAATATATCCGTGGTAGACACCTGTCAGTCAACAAACATTTATTGGGGCTTACTGCGCGCCCAGCACTGTCAGGCTCTAGGGCTTGTAAGGAACTGGCCCACTCAATTTCTGCCTTCACAGAGCTTACTGATAGTAATGCAAATGGTCAGGCCCTTTCCCCCTTTATGTTACATAGTCTCTCAAAGCATAAAGAAGGGAAGTAAAATGTATCCATCCCATTTCTCAGATGGAATCGCTGACATAGAGAATATTAAGTTGTTTTTTTTTGCTGAGCCACTGGAAGAGTGGTAGGTCAGAACAAGCTCCCGACTCTCACACTTGAGTCTCTTTATATTTTTAGCGTCTTCCTGTAATTTCAGCTTTGATCTAGTCTACAAGACTATTTCAATTTTATAGGTATTGATTTTCCTCTATAATCGGAATTACTATTTCAATAGATAGGATAAAAAAAGATACATAACAGTATTTTCTAATAGACCATGGCTCAAGCAAAAACTTATTTCCAGCCCTAGCTGGTTTGGCTCAGTGGATAGAGCATCGGCCTGTGAACTAAAGGGTCCTGGGTTCGATCTCAGCTAAGGGCACATGCCCAGGTTTCGCGCTTGGTCCCCAGTGGGGGGTGTGCAGGAGGCAGCTGGTCAATGATTCTCATCATTGATGATTCTATCTCTCTCTCCGTCTCCCTTCCTCTCTGAAATCAATAAAATTCTATTAAAAGAAACCCCACACAAACAAAAACCCCCTTATTGCTGAAACTGATTTGACTCAGTGGATAGAGTGTCGGTCTGTAGACTGGAAGGTCCCAGGTTCGTTTCTGGTCAAGGGCATGTACATTGGTTGTGGGCACATCCCCAATAGTGGTGTGCAGGAGGCAGCTGGTCAATGTTTCTCTCTCATCGATGTTTCTATCGATAGCTCTCTATCCCTCTCTGTAAAAAAATCAATAAAATATATTAAAAAAAACAAAACCAAACCACCTTATTTCCAAGGAATCAAAGTTACCTCTATAGGGAATATTTTTTCTCTAATAAGAATACACGTACCTCACCCCTATTCATAGCAGCATTATTCACAATAGCCAAAGGGTAGAAGAAATCCAAATGTCCATCAAGAGATAAACAAGATGTGGTATACCCATACAATGGAATATTATTCAGCCATAAAAAAGGAAGGAAATTCTGATACATGCTACAAAATGGATGAACCTTGAGGACATTGTGCTATATGAAATAAGCCAGTCACAAAAAGACAGATACTCTATGATTCCACTCATATGAGGAACCTTGAGTAGTCAATTTCATAGAAACAGAAAGTACAATGGTAGATGCAGGGGCCTGGGAAAGTGGGGAGTTCATGGGTGCAGAATTTCTGTTTTATAAGATGAAAACGTTCCAGAGATGGATTGTTCGATAATGTAAACATACTTAACCCTACTGAACTGTACACTAAAAATGGTTAAGATGTCAAATATGTGTATTATATCACAACTTAAACAGAGCCAAAAAAATACTGATACTTACCTCATCATGATAGCTCAATTTTTTTTCCTTATGGCTTCAGTAATTGATAGGAACAGACTCTCTTGACACTATTAAGGGAAATAAAAGAACTGTCTGTGATGTTTTTGTCAATCAGCAGAAACATTTAAACAAATTCTTTCAATGTCATTGTCCACAGGCTTTGAATTATTTCTGGAAATTAAAATTTGCTATTCTGTGCTCTAAAAATCACATTTAGGTAACGAGGTAGATAATGCCATCCTATAGGCTGGTGATAACACTTCCACATTTTTGTTTGCCTCTTTCCAGAAGCAGAATAAGCACAGATCATCCCCACTATCTTGTGTGTTTATACATTTGAAACCAGAATATATATGCCATAGAGCAAACTCTCTAAACACATTAGCAATTACTTGTATTCAATTTCTAGATTCTTAAGTATCCTAGTTTTATCCACCACCACAGCTCCTTTTTTCACTAAAGGATCACAAGGCATTCAATGTGAAACATCTAAAAACCATGGCACCTCAAATATGGGTGCAGATAGATGCCGGGGCTGGTGACTGAGGAATGGCAGGTGGCACCCTTTCGATTCCTCCATGACTATTGCTGGAAAGGAGCTAGAACCCTGGCTGCGGATGAGGTTCTGCCCTTTAATTCTCTGTTCTCATTTCTTACAGCCCTCCATCACATGTCTGAAAAGCTGGTTTTATTCCCCCAGAGAGTCTGCATAGTTAACCTAATGCAGTTAGTTAGTAGGATAGGATATAAGCAGTTATTAAAATGTTCAAAGTAGATATCCATTTATTAGTTTTAAAATGTTCATTACCATGCCATCTATTTTATAATCTTATACACCATGTCATCTTGTAACACGAAGGCATCAAGAACCTGGAGACTTCTAATCTGTAATGCCCACCAGAAAAGTTCTGAAGAATCATTTTTTATTTTCCAAAATCATGTCCTTTCATGATACAAGTTATGGAAAGGGCAAAAGGAGGACTTAGTACTCACCAAAGACTCACTGAGTGATAGCTGTCCCTCCCCGAGGTACCAAGGGCAGCTCTGTGCACTTACCCATCACAGTTCAAAAACCCTGAGCAGATCTGCCTGTCACTAACCCCCTCTCCTCAGCTTCTTCCATGCCATTACTTGGAAAGAACCTGGCTCCGTAACCCATTTCCTTCCCCTAACCCGTCTCAGAGCCTCGCATACAACAGACACTAAGTGATTATTGAAGGAATGAAAGAAACTAGCTTTAGCTCTGACAACATATGTTGGTTAATGTACATAGACAAGTATTTCTTCACGATGACTAAAGAAGTGAGACACGGTCAAACATTTTCCATTCATACAACTTTTCCTGATTTAAATGGTCCAATTTACAAATCCCCAAGGCCTGAGTGTTGAAGCCAATAGTTATGCCACCCAAGACTGCATGCTTTGACCCTTTTGAAAGAAGGCCCTTCCAGTCCCAGGAAAACCTACGTTATGTCTTTGGGGTGGAGACTGGTGGAATTTGGGAGTCCCGATATAACCGAAATTAAACTTTGATTTCCCCAATGCATTTTAAAACTCTGTGAAAATATTTCTGCATAAACCAGTGGGGCAATGGATAGCAATGCTAAAATGCACAAATTCTTTTCCTTTTCGTTGATGAGTTTACTGGGGTGACATTGGTTAATTAAGTTCTGTAGGTCTCAGAGGTACAGTTCTATAATGCATCATCTGTACATTGTACAGGGCATTCACCACCCCAAGTCAAGTCTTGCTCCATCACCATTTAGTCTCCCCTGCCCCTGGGAATCCCCCCACTGCACAATTATTTCAAAGGCAGATGACAAAAACACGGGCTTCGGCTGCAGCTGACCTTGAGTTACGGGGAATCGATGGCTGAGATCTGGTTATTCCCAGTCCCCCTCTCCCCCTTGAAGTCACAGCACGTTGAAATAAAGCAGGTTTGTAGGAAAACCCAGTTGCCACGGAAATATTTATCTATCTTCACCTGGTGTGCACCCACTTCGAGCTCGAGTGAAGTTCAAAGTCTATGGCTAACAGAAGTGCATGTGACTAAAGGGAAACATCCCTACACTGAAGGGAAAGGACTTGTGACATAGACGCAGAGTCCAAACACCCTCTCCAGAACTTAAATTCCCGGGATCTCTTTGCACCGCAGTTGGAACGAACAGGAACACTCCCCTCCCCCACCACCTTGAATTAGAGAGTAAGTAAATGATATTTTCAAAATAAAACCGGCCACTCTCTACCCCGCCACCCCTTCCAACAAAGGCCCAGGACCCGAAGAAAAAACCACGCACCGCCCCCCCCCCCCCAAACCTTGCTGCGGCTCGCTCACCTGGGAGGGCAGCGGCAGCCGGAGCCCGAGTTTCGGGGTCACACGCGGAGGGGGCGCCTCGCCGGCCCACGGGTGCCTTTTCCCGAGGCCAGCGGCGCCGTGCTGCGGGGTGAACCGGAGTAGGGGACGCCCCACTTCCTGTCCCACCGCACCACGAGCCGGTCCCCGCAGGTGACAGTGGGGGTCACTCACGTGATGCACCTGACCTTCCCCTACAAAGTCCGGGAGAGGCGCCTGGGGGAGTGTCCCCGGGACGAGGCGGCCCCGCGCCCGCCGAGACCCCCTGAGGCGCGGGCTGGCGGCCGCTCCCCGCACTCGCGCCCTCGTCCCTCAGGACCACAGCCGCCCACGGTCGCGCGTGGCCGCACGGAGGGGTCCGGCGCCGTGCTCGGGCTGGCTGGCCGGGCCACCGGCACGGGGCGGCCCGCGGAGGGCACCCTGCGACACCGTCACGGGCGCTGCCTGCGGAATGGCGGCGACAGGATGCGTCGCCCCCCGCATCCCCGGGCTCTTGCTGCCGCCCGCGCCGGGGTTGAACTCGATCGGAGTGGGGGGGGAAGGGGGGAACGTGGCGACGAGGCGGGCCCAGGCCGCCGCGCCTCCGGGGACGTCGAGGCGAGGCGGTCGCGTGGGAGCCGGGAGCGACCGCCTCAGCTCAGGAGTTGCTTCCAGGGGGCGGATCGCGGCGCCTCAGACCCCTCGGCGCTGCCTGCCATCCCCTCCGAACCCCACGGCGGCTGCGCGGCAGCAACGTGGTGCCAGCCCTAAGCCCCGCCCACCACACACGACACGCCCACCGCTCAAGCCCCGCCCCCTGCCCCGTCCCAGGACGCGTTGCGCGGCCCGGGCCGGAAGTCGGCGTGTTCCCGGGCGTGTGTCCGTGTCTGTGTCTGTGTCTGTGTCTGTAATCGGCGCGCGGCCCGGGACGATCGCGGGGGGATTCCCGTCCGCAGGCATCACCGCTGTCGCCACCATCACCCACGGAGCCACTTCCAGAGCGCGGGAGACCCGGCCCTTCGCCGGGCATTGAAGATGCTGCCCCTGTCCATCAAGGACGATGAATACAAACCACCCAAGTTCAATCTGTTGGGCAAGATCTCGGGCTGGTTTAGGTGCGGGGTGCCCTGTGTGCGGGGAGTGGGGACAAGGTCCAGGTTGAAGCGTGGCCCGAGGTGCAGGGAAGGGGGCGCTAGGGCCACCCTCACTTGGGGACTGGGAGCGTCTGGAGAGGGGGGGCCCGCGTCCGGGTCCCGGCCCCGCTTGGACTCGCGGGCTTTCCCCACTTTGTCGTGCCCAGGTCGATCCTGTCGGACAAGACGTCTCGGAACCTGTTTTTCTTCCTGTGCCTCAACCTCTCTTTCGCTTTTGTGGAACTCCTCTACGGCATCTGGAGCAACTGGTAACCGAAGGGGGAAGGGCTGGGGCGGAAGCCCGGGTGGCGGAGACCGGGCTCTGTTTGCTGAATGCCACGTAGCTAGTCGCCGGGAGGGTCAGGTCCCGCCGGTGCCGCCGCCTCTGCTGCCCAGTTGCTTCCTCTTGTCCACACCTGTCTGGCGTGGCTACTGTTTCTTAAATCGGGGCCCACCGCGTGCAGCAGTCCTTACGATATGGGCCCCCTCCCCCTTAGTGTCCCCCCCCCCCGCCCCCACTCTGTCCAACAAGAGTGACAAGTCCCCCCCTCATTTGGGCAGGGGGAGAGAGTCTTTCCACATCCCTTAGCTTCTTTGTCCACTTTCTTGGGATTGCGAGAAACGCATTTCCTGCCTCCCGGGGGAGTGTCCTTGCCCGTCTGTGGGGGAGTGGCATTTGGATTTCATCCTTAGGATTCCTAGAGGGAATACCGGAGATGTTCTACTTACTTTGTTGTGAGATCTTGGAACCCGGAGGAGGTTTATACAGGGGACATCCAGGTAGACAAGTGTCATCTCTTCCATTCACTTCTCTGTTTTAATTTTATGCTGAAACTGTCTCAGGAGTTCCCTCTGGTCTTGCCTGCAGTAGGGAATCCCATAGAGTTTCCTAAAAAGCGTACCTCTCATGGTGTTTGGTGTTACTTTTGTTTTTGTTGTTGTTGGTTTTTTTTAACTGCTTTGGGAAGAGGTATAACCAGTTTAACCATGGAAGTGAAATACTACACTCTAGTTGTTTGCCGTTGGATAACTTAAGGGCCTTATAAAATTGTTCAACCAACAATAGAATCATCACACTTCCGGGTGTAGTGATTGTCTTTAAGTCTCATATCCATTTGAGAATCTGATGATAGCCAGCACTCAGTCTTTTATATGAGACTTCAGGGGGTCTTGGGTTCCCCGTCGTGTGTTCTGTTCACTAAGTAGACGTCGTCTCTGTTCATGAAGGGCCATTTTCACAGACAGTTGCTGTCCTTGAGCTTTATTACTGTTGAAATTGAGCAATGACATTAGATAGTATCACCAGTTTTGGTGACCTGTATATACTTTTATATGAAAAGTGCGACTACTTTTCAGTGCAAACGTGAATGCAGTTTTGTCAGTAATACTCAGCAACTTACGAAGGTTATCATGGAGTGACCACTTGGATCTTAACTGCATAATCGAAACATGTGTCATAACCATCATCATATGTTGAGTCCTCTGGGAATCAGATATACATGTCCTGTAATATTAATCCCCTTCAATGAATTGTACATGTTAAAAGCACTGTATAGTTAACCCTTGAACAACACGGGTTTGAACTATGCAGATCCACTTACATACAGATGGTTTTCAACAAATATGAGCAGTATTCCAAGTGTGTTTTCTCTTATGATTTCCTTAATAATATTGTCTCTTTGCTCCAGCTTACTTTATGGAAATAATCGAGTATAAAATACACATAACATATGTGTTAATTGACTGTGTTATTGGTAAGGCTTCCGGTGAATAGTAGGCTATTAGTAGTTAAGCTTTTGGGAGTCAAAAGTTATATGCATTTTTTACTGCACAGGAGGTGGGTGTTCCTAACCTCCCTGTTATTCAAGGGTCAACTGTATTGTCTTGTATTGGAATAATCATAATTTATTATAAATATACAATATTTATATCCTTTACTCTTCCTAAATTATACCATACTGTGACCTATGTGCTGACTGTATCAAGACTAGCTTTGTTTATAGGTTTATATATGTAGAGTTTTGCCATAGTTACTTTATATTACAACACATATTTTACTGTGGGCTACCATTGCATAAGTTGGTATGTGAAATGCCTTGTTCAGTGGATTCATATTTGACTACCTAGATTACTGCTTTTATGGAAAGTTATTTTAGGCAGTATTTCTTTTGGTTTGTAGAGATCTATTGAGGAAATTATTAAAACCTTTGATTTCCAAGCTATTGTGGAAAGTCACCAGTTCATAAGGAAAACATGAGTGTTATGTGACTTGTTCTCCTGTGGCTTGCTCTCCTAACCTAAGGCTCTCTTGTCCAGATATATTCTAGATTGGGAATCTAGCACTGACCCAGTACCTGTAATACCTAGCTCAGTTAGCTAGTATTCATCTTCCTGTTCACCATCACATCCACAACTATTAATTTTTATTGGTGGACTGGGAGTACAAATGGGTTCCCATTGAAGTGTTGGCAGATTTAGAAAATGTGGCCTTTTTGTAGTCTGGCTTTCTATGTCTTCTTTAGATACCACAATTTTTAGTTCACTTTGTTGATGTATCAACAGTTTCTTTATGTGACTGGGTTATCTCTTTTTCTGAAAGTTCCACTAGAATTTTAAGTTCCTAGAGTAAATTTCTCACCGGAACTTGGTCACTCTAATGTCTGTGTTCACTTTTATTCTGTAATAAGTCAGGCTCAAGATGTTGTAAACATGAAATGTCAAATTTTTTCTCTTATGGAAGAAAGATGAATAAAATGTACTCTTCACAAATAAAAGTTCTTAGAAGCAGTTGGTCTTATTGCAACATTCTGGTTCAGAGCCTTCATTGTAAAGTAAAAACTTATAATTGGTTTATATTTTTGAGGATGATGGTCTTTCAGTGGAGGAACAGATAACCTCTTTAATGTGTGTTCCCCCATTAAGTGTCCATTGCCTTTCAACTTGCCACTAGAATGTAAGCGGTATCAAAAGAGGGGTCTTTTATCTAATTTGGGCACCTTATCACATGGTACATCGGACGCCTGATATATATTTGCTGAGTGAAAGAATGAAGGAATAATGAATGTATGGAATTGATCTACCTGTACTGTTCTTCCCCCCCACCACTCCCTTTTCTTCTTTATCATAGTTCATTGCTGTCTTTCTGGAAGATTCCTTCCTGATGAGCAGAGCCGACTCTTAGATTTGTAGAGAAGGATGCCTTCTATTTGGTTACCATTCTAATACGCCACCATGTTTGTTCTCTTCCAGCTTAGGGCTGATTTCCGACTCTTTTCACATGTTTTTCGATAGCACTGCCATTTTGGCTGGGTTGGCAGCGTCTGTTATTTCGAAATGGAGAGATAATGATGCTTTCTCTTATGGGTAAGACTTTTTTAAAAATCCTTTTTGTTGACGTGTAAGAAACACAGAAAAATACACAAATCTCAAGCTCAAAGAATTTGCACTAATCGAACATACTTATGGAACTTGAACCCTTGAATCTCTTTTGTCTCCTCCTGGTTCCTTCTTCCTACAGGCAACCACCGTCCTGACTGCATGGGGTAGTGGTGCCTGGTTCTGAACACTATGTCCCTGTCATCTGCAAAATGTACATCTTGTGGGGTTTTTTGGCATCTAAGTTTTTTTGCTTAGGGTTAGGGCATCTTGATTTTACCCAAAATTTGTAGGTGAAATTGTTACTAGGTATTTTGAATTTCTCAACACTTACCCTAGTTTTTTGAAGCAGATGAAAAAAAGTTTCAGTCTATGCAAATGATCATGTGTCCTTGTTTTTAGGACGCTATTTTGCTGTTGATTTATTTAAAATCATTCTTTCCCAGTATGGTTTTATATTGCATACCCTCTTCAGCTCCGCTTTTACGTAAAACCCTTTACCTCTTGCTGAGTTTGGAGAGTGACTCAAATATTTGGAGGGTGTTTTCACACTGGAGGGTCAGGCCCCCAAGCCCGGGGCCCTGAGGGGCAGAGCTGGCATTTCTCATGGAAGCAGTGGTGTTCCCATTATCAGATGGCCTCTGCCTGCATGTTTTCTTTTTTTTTTTTTTTTAGCTTATAGGACTTTCTGCAGTGTAATTACATCCATGTATAAAGTGGTGAGAACCAGTAGCCTCTTCCTCTCTTCTGCCCGCTTTCTCTCTGCCCCCTCCGCCTGCTTCCTCCCTCACTCCTTCCTTGTCCTTCCCACCCCCACCCTCCACAGTCTCTCCTCTCTTCATTGTCCTTCCTATTTTCTCTGGCCTCTCACTCTGGTGCATCCTCAGACTCATTCTCTCCCCCATCTTCTGCTCTCTGTTTCTACTTTCTTTCTGGTTACTGGGCCTGTGTCCGCTCATTCCTTCTCTCCCGCACATCCTTTTCTTACTCTTCTCTACCGCTCTCTCCTCCCCTTTGCTGTATCTCTCAGCTCTTTTCGTTGCTCCCTCTTCTCCCTCAGTCTCCTCTTCAGTCCCTTTTGCTCTGGCTTTTGCAGTCTGTCCTTCTTTCACTGATTCCCTTCCCTTGCCGGTGCAGGACCTCCATAATCTCCCTTCCGTTCTCCATCCACCCTCCTCTCTCCTCTTCCTTTCCTCCTCCCTCCTCCAGCATGCTCTGACTCCTGCTCCCTCACCACTTCCTCCATCCCCCCTCCTCCAGCATGCTCTGACTCCTGCTCCCTCATCACCTCCTCCATCCACCCTCCTCCAGCATGCTCTGACTCCTGCTCCCTCATCACCTCCTCCATCCACCCTCCTCCAGCATGCTCTGACTCCTGCTCCCTCACCTCCTCCTTCTGCCCAGCTTTGCCTTTGCTCTGGAGCAAGCATGCTCTGCTTCTTGCCCATCCTCTATTCTCTTCAGATGTTTGAGGGCCACTGCTTTGCTCCTCCAGAGATAGAAAGATAAGTAAGATGTAGCACCTGCCTTGAGGAACCTGGGCTCTGATGGGGGAGCGACTGTGTAAAAATAGTAACTGCCCATTTGACAAGTGCTGAAGGATGAAGTCTACGACAGCACTTGCTGATTCGGGGTATAACCAAAGGATTAGGGTTTCTCGTAAAATGATAAAAAGCGAGACAAGAACACCCATCAGACTATTGTTACAGTACGGAGAAGGGGATCACTATGTCTAGAGCTCCAAAGAGGCTGAATGCTCAGAGAGAACATCTTCCCTGGCGCCATGAAACCTTAAGTCCATTCTGGGTCATTAAAGAAAGCTACAGAAAGCGGTTTAAGAGTGAGTGGCTGCTGTGAGTGCCCTTTGAAAAATGTTTGAACAAGTAAAGCTGCCAAGTTCAAGTTGTTCTTAGTGACTTTAAGCCCGAGCTGCCTCTTGGAGAAAGAAACCCTTTCCCCGCCGCCTCCCACGGGCAGGAGGCAGGAAGCCTTGAAGGCCGCGGGGAGCGGGGCAGAATTTCAAAAACTAGTTCAGCTAGAATGACGCGAAGCTGGAATTGATTCTAAAAACAGGTCAGCGTTCGTGCTGCGTTTCTTAATCTTAGAAAAAGAGCGAGAGGAAAGAAATCTCAAGTGGTTTCAGGGATACTTGAGAAATAATTTTATTTTCCTTCAGATCAAATCCGCTTCCCAGAGATTTGAAAGCTGAATAACACAAAGCAGAGGGCCTAAGGCGACCTTAGGAGAGAATGGATTAATAAGTTACAAACCCCCCTTTCTCAAGCTCTCTTCTCCCCCTTTTTCTCTTTGGATTCTTCTTTGACTATTTAGTCCTGCTCTTCCTGCTCCAGCGACAAGCTGAGCTTCACATTTCTAGGGACGGTCTTTCTACACCTCCTCACTCCAAGGTCTTCTGATTGCTGTGAGGAAATCTGTATTTTCTGCTATTCAGCATAATTCATAATATTGAAATTCATGTTCTTGTTTTTGTAATATATGTACAATAAAACACACTGCACTATGCACACTGGGTCTTTGCTGGCCACTTATAACGTATAAAGTGGGTTAGGGTCATCGAACATGCGTTTGATGTTGACTGTTTGATCTGTAAGAAATAACTTAATAATTCGGTTGTTTACTTTGCTCTGCAGGTATGTCAGAGCGGAAGTGCTGGCTGGCTTTGTCAACGGGCTGTTTTTGATCTTCACTGCCTTTTTTATTTTCTCAGAAGGAGTTGAGGTACAGTAGATAATGATTAGATTTGGTAAATTATATATGCAAGGAAGATGTTTAATTCGCTAAGCGTATATGTAATAGAGCTGTTTTGCACACGATTATGAAGTGTTGAGGACAGCCTTGGGTTATAGGAGGAGCTTACGAAATAGTTGAGAAAAATGAACTAGATGTGCACCTACTTAAAATGGAAAGCAAATAATGGTGCTTTGCAGGTGCAAATGGAGTGTTGACACTGGAAAGTAAAGGCATGCTGGGAGAGTTCTTAAGAGAATCTGAGTTCTGGGGTGGGACGGGGGTTGGGGGACTTCTTATTTGGTACCTGGAAACAAGAAGATTTCAAGGGGAGTGACCTTGAAATGAAAGGCAAAGCTCTAAAATGCCACGGAAGGATGGGCTTCAGACCAAATGAACATTGTTGCCTTTCTTACAGTGTGGTGCAGTGGTCGGCAAACTCATTAGTCAACAGAGCCAAATACCAACAGTACAATGATTGAAATTTCTTTGGAGAGCCACAGTTTTTAAACTTAAACTTCTTCTAATGCCACTTCTTCAAAATAGACTCGCCCAGGCCATGGTACTTTGTGGAAGAGCCACACTCCAGGGGCCAAAGGGCCACATGTGGCTCTTGAGCCTCTGTTTGCCGACCACGGGTGTGGTGAATACTGGTTTTCTTCCGAGAGACGGTGGGCAGATATTTCTGGAGTGACTTTTCGTTCTGAAAAGACCTGAACGATTTTTACAGCGGCTCTTTGTTCCCACCAGCGGACCCCGGGGAAGTCACCCGATGAACCTTGCCTTGTGTTTTGCAGAGAGCGCTGGCGCCCCCCGACGTGCACCACGAGCGCCTGCTGCTGGTCTCCGTCCTGGGCTTCGTGGTGAACCTGGTGGGGATATTCGTGTTCCAGCACGGAGGCCATGGCCATTCGCACGGCTCTGGTACGACGGTCCGAGCCCTCTGTCTCTTCACGTCCTGGTGTCCGTCTCAGTCACTCACCTCTGAAAACTGACCATTCTCGAAGTTAAACTTGGACTTGTAATAACACAAGTAATGTTAATAGGCTTTACTCTTATTAATGTCTTCCTGAACCATCCCTCCAACTTCTCCCCGCCCCTCATTGGACAGTCGCATCTTCTCCGTTTCACGTGCTCCGATTTTGGTGTGGACCCTTCCAGACCTGTGTTGCTCATCTGTTGATGATGACACCATTTATATAACACAGACAAACAAACATCAAAGTCACAAAACAAACCTAGTTATTAAAAAATTATAGTGCATGTGGGTGAGAAACTTGCCATCATCTGTTCTTCAGATCCTTCCATTCGCATGTCCCAGCCCGCCTTCTCCACGAACAGCCCACAGAGCTCCCAAGTGTGGGCTCCCTGGTTTCCTGTCTCGTAGGGGAAGTCCTGTCTCTGGTTTTCCAGGCTTTTTGGGTCTGTCTTGCTTATTTATTTATTTATTTTAATCAGCTTGTCAAGTTTTATGAAAAATCTTATTGGAATTTTGACCAAAAATTCACTGTCTGCGTTTAATTGTGAAAAATTGACACAACTCAGATTAAATTTCACGTTCATATGAGATTCCACGTCCTTTATGACGTTGTCCTAGGCATTTTAACATAAATATTTACCATTTGGGCCATTGTTGGGGAGCTGAGAGTTTTTCACTCTGTGAAGAAGATAACTCGCACCCCTGCTTGTCTCATGGCATAGCCAGGCCCTTGAGCGCAGTGTTGATGAGAAACACTTCTCGCTCGTATCCTTGCGTCCACCAGCACAGTCACCTGGGTAGCTTTTTAAAAAGTGCTGATGCCAGGTTTTATCCCAGAACCTCGGGAGGAATGCTTGACCCCGCGCCCTCAGCGGGGCTGAGCAGCAGGCAGGGCGAGGAGCATTGCTGAGTGAAGGGCATTAGCAGAGCTGCTCTCCAGTTCTGATAGCTGGGCCTCATTTCTGATCAAACTGCTTTACCAGCCGAGGATCATTCCTGCATCTATTGTATGATGTTTTCCCCTCCTTCGGTTAATTTAAAATTAGTAACTGCATGCGTAGATTTTCTTATGAGGACCCATCCTTAAATTTTGGAGTTAAATGTATCCATTTAAGACTACATTTAAGTCTTACCCATTTTGAGTCAATTTTTGTGTGTGGTGTGAGATATGGGTCCAATATTTTCTTATATCTAGATAACAAATTGTCTCAGCGCCATCTGCTAAAAAGATGACTTTTCTTTCCTCACTGAATTGTCATTCTTGCCAACAATCAGTTGACCATAAATGTGAGAGTTTTTTCTGGATTTCCTGAAGTAGGGTTAAAATCGCAATATGTGATTTTTTTCTGCCTGATTCTTTTTTATTAAAAGGGTTGTTTTGGCTTTTCTGGATCCCTTGTTGAATTTCCATATAAATTTTAGGGTCTGTGTGTCAATCTCTGCTTTTATTTCCTTCCTGTACTGTGAGGTCGGAACTCAGTATTATTGTAATGAATCAGTAACACTTTACAAGTACATGTTTATAAACTTGAGTCTGGTTTTAGAGCTTTCTTTGCTGACATCATTGTTATTGTAGCCGCTAGCTAATGTATTTTCACATGCCTTTTGTTCTAACACTGTTTGCAGGCCATGGACACAGCCATTCCCTCTTTAACGGTGCCTTGGACCAGGCCCTCGGCCACGGAGACCATTGCCACAGTCCGGAACTGAAACACGGCACCGCACAGAGCCACGACCACGCGCACAGCCACGACCATGGACACGGACACGACCACGGACACTTCCACTCCCACGGTGAGTGCAGCCTGTGGCCTCCCTCACACAGACCTGCACAGAGAACTGGAGAAAGGGTCTGTTAAAGCATCGCAGCCAGCTTCCTGTCCAGCGAACCAGCCTGGTTCCCACGCTGGTTCTTTTTTAGCCTGTGGTGAGACTGGCGTGGTATCAGGCAGTGGATATGGCTTTTTTTCAGGGAGTATGTTATGATAAAAAGTCACTATTTTACATGAGTGTCCGTGAATGAGGAACAATTGCATTTCAGCAAACGAAAAGCGTGATTTTTAAAAAATAACTTCTTATTGATTTTAGAGAGAGGAGAAGGGAGAGGGATAGAGAGAGAGAAAAACTGATGAGAGAGTCACATCGATAGACTGCCTCCTGCATGCCCCCTATGGGGATTAAACCCATAACTCAGACGTGTGCCCTGACTGGGAATCTAACTGTGACCTCCTGGTTTATATGTTGATGCTTTACCACTGAGCAACCCCAGCCAGACAAAAGTGTGATATTTTTAAAGTATGATGAGGCCTTTTGTACTATATATAGGGTTATAAAAATACAATTGGAGTTTTCAATTCTTCACATTTTCATGTAATTTTGATAGATATTTACCTCAATGTACCCTTAGGAATCTTTGTATGCTGACTTACATTGCATTGGATACTAAGTTATAAGGTATTTAGCCATTTAATGTTTTATTTAAAAATTCTATTTGGAATTATTCATGAAAATTTTGAGTATAGACTAATAGCTGCTTAATTGGCACAATTTGATTAATCTTTAAATAAACCATATGCTTAAATACTTTGTGTACTTGCCCTATTGGCAGAATTCTGAACTTTAGATTTGAAAATATGAAAGGGGCCTTAGAGACTGAGTTTGTAACTGTTACACTGATATACTCTAAAACCTTGCTTTTCTAAGTTTGGTGCTCACATGCATCCCAAAATAATCTTGAAAAACTGTGTATCCTTCATTGTTGGGATGATTTCTTTAAAAACTCCTCCTGACATCAGGCCATGAGGAAATCATAGCAGCTGGTGACTAGGAATGCCAGGCTTTTGAGACAAGGAGTCTGACTCCAGAATCTGCTCTTGACTCTTATCGTGCCTTCCGCCTTGAGGAGCCCATCTGGGCGCGGTAGCAATACCGCCTGCGTTCCGTTTCCCCTGAAGAGACAGCACAGTCCCACTGGGAAGTGCTGGGAGCTTCCTATGACTGGGATCCTGCACGTGAGTCGAGCCAGTGGCTTATTGTTTTAACTGCTCGCATCTCAGGGATATAAACAGTCAAGTTCAGATCTTGTGTTGGGTGGACAGGGTAGATGCTCTGTCCCCCATGGCAATTCCAGGATCCGGGTTCTTTCCTCTGTGGGATTTAAAAAAAAAAAAAAAAAAAAAAAAAAAAAAAATATATATATATATATATATATATATAAAAATATATTTTTTTTTTTTTATTGATTTTTTTTACAGAGAGGAAGGGAGAGGGATAGAGAGTTAGAAACATCAATGAGAGAGAAACATTGATCAGCTGCCTCTTGCACGCGCTCCCCCCCGGGATGTGCCCGCAACCAGGGTACATGCCCTTGACCAGAATCGAACCCGGGACCTTTCAGTCCGCAGGCTGACGCTCTATCCGCTGAGCCAAACCAGTTTTGGCATTCTGTGGGATTCTTAACCCTGAGAATTAGGTAGTAGGTCAGATGGGACATGCATATGAGCCAGACCTGCCTTCCATGTAGTTCTTTGTTCACTACCGAGTGACACACACCTCCTAACTAAAGGTCGCCGGAAGTGTGGTTTAGTTGTTGGCCAGCGCGGAAGGAGAAAGGGGTTTGGTAAGCAGCCAGCCATGCTCTGTACCAGAGGACTCTGAGAGTGTGAACAGGAGGGGGTTACAGTGTCTCCTGTAGCTCTGACGTCGGAGCAGCAGAGACACTTCTCTGAACAGCTGTCAGAAATGACTGTCTATCTGGGCCCACAGCCTGTAGACACGGCAGGGGCCTGGATGAGGTGCTGGGCCTGGATGAGCAGGCACGCTGTGGGCTGTCCCCAGGATTGGCAGGCGGCTACCTGTTTTGCCTCCACACAGCAAAATGACAGTGTTACTATCATTCTCTGTTACTGTATTAAGTGTCAAACGTAATTTTGTAGGTCTGACGTGGCTGTGTAGTCATGCAGCCTTCGCGATGCCTTTGAGTGAAAGGTGCTCTGAATTGCAAACATTGCGCCGGGAACTGAAGACATGTTCTGAAATAATCTCACTTGCCTCTCTGCAGATGGCCCCTCCTTCAAGCAGACAGCAGGCCCCAGCAGACAGATTTTACAAGGTACGGCAAGGCGCTGGCCCCTTCCTGTCCTATGAAGCTGGCTTCGGAGTTTTCTTTTAAGAAAAATACGTAACATAGTATTTGTGTTTAAAATGTTAGCCCCTTCCTAATGAATTTTCTGATACACCCATTTATGGATAAATAACATTTATTAGCCTATGACAGATTTTAGCATCAATTTTGTTCCTGTTTTTCAATTTTATAATCTAAGCGCTAAAAGACATTCTTTTCATTTAATTGTAGTTGGCTTTTTTCTCAGATGTAATAAGAAGAATAAAATGTTCAGAAACGATACTGCATAAGTAAAATGCTGCCCATCCCAATGACTATAGTAACATCATAGTAGTATATTTACCTATGCAGGGTTATTAAATAATTTTCCCAAGAATAATATTCCATATGTATTTATGTTGTGGAAAATTTAGTGCTACAAATGCAATGCATCCAAAACCAAAGATGTTCACTTGCCATGGTGAACCCCAATGTAAACTGTGGCCTTTGGGTGACATTGGTGTGTGGACACTGTTTCATCAGTGGTAACACATGTTACCTGGTGGGGAATGCTGATAATGAGGAGGCTGTGCATGTGTGGGGGCAGAGGGTGTAAAAATCTACCCTTAATTTTGCTGTGAGCCTAAAACTGCTCTCAAAGAATGAGTCTGTTATATTTTTAAAAAATGTAATGCAAAGTGAGACCTCAGTTACATCCACAGGCATAAAAAAATGATACCTAAACAGGAGCTTACCTATCATGTCAAACGGTGTATTCTCAAATTTTACATGCTAGAGAAAATCAGTCTTATCTGTGAACTGTGATAGTTCCCGTTTTGGGATGGGAACCAATCTTTGGTCGCAATTTCCGTTTAGACTTCATTGTTCCAGTTTTCTAAGTCCCAGCAGCCCATCTTTCTGCCTTTATGAACTTGACTTCAGCCTGACCTTTTCAGTAGCTTGTGATCCAGTCCCCGCTACACCTACTTATCTCCACGGCTTCCGAGGCAGCTCTCGCTTTTGACATTTCCCTGTAAATTTGCTCCTCTGCACCAAAGAGGTTATTTCAGGCCCTTAAACATGTCTTCCAGCCCCTCGCAAAATATACAGAATTGTCTATCTGCTGAAATAGCTTGTAATGATGCATAAGGAGTGTCTGTATCCAGTGCTATCAGTGAGCCTTGATAATGAGAGCTCATTTTTAGTTGAGAAATCATCACGATGTGAGGGGCGGTTGGGTTTGCCTTCCTAATTGCCTTTTATACAGCTGCTGTGAACATTGGTGCGTATTTCCTAAGTGCCCACCAGCTTATGGGGCTGCGGCAGCCCAGCAGATGGCTGAAGGGCAGGGATGACTGCCGCTACCAACCCTTTTCTGCACAGACGTTCACAGGGGGAGAACTGAGGAGTGAACCCCTCAGCTTCTTGCCCCATTTCCAAAGGAAAATAAAAAACAAGCGATTCTTTTCTTTTTCCTTCTGATGTTGAGAGCTGTGTTCAATTCTGATCCCAAAACACCGATTACAAAATATAAAGACAAAAATCACACATATCACTTAAGAATTTTGAAGCTTAGGGCCCCTCAATCCACTTTGCTGTATATCTTTCTCCATTTAATTTTAAAGCTTAAGGTGATCCCAACACTTACTATTCTTTGCTACTGAAATACCTAGGGAAATGAAATATATTTTCCCATAACATATTTTTGTGATGGAAAAAAGCCATTTCCCCACCTAAAGAATTATTACAAAGGTTAAAAAAAAAGAAAGAAAAAAGAAAAAAAAAAAAGAGCCATTTAAAAACAAAAAAAGAATTATTATCGATATAAAGCTCAATACCCTATACCAGCGATTTTCAAGCAGTATTCTGCAAGGATTTTTAAAACATGCAATTCCTCACTATTTCTTTAAGTGGTTGAATAAAACAAGGACAATAGCCCGAATAGCCCTGTTTTGAACCATAAATATACAGGTCATATACTAGAGTTGCATCTGAATAGTTATATTGCATAATTGCACATTAAGGTTGTATCTGATGGGTTAATTCTTGGTACCAGAAATCCAAATATACAAGTATAGCTGCCTAATTTTTTAAAAAAGTCACTTTGGAGCAAAAAGGGGTTTGTAGTTACTATCATTTTTGTGTGTGAATCATTCAAAATTATATCTATTTTATGTCAGATGGGCATTCAAAATTATATCTATTTTATGTCAGATGGGCAAAAACATATGTATTTTGGTGTGCCACAGAATTTTAGTAATTGGTTTATGTGTGCCATGAGATGAAAAAGGTTGAAAACACTGTTACTCAGAATGAAAAAGTAATAGGTACTGAGGAATTAATTACATTTGCTATAATACTTGATATAAAATTCCATGGTGGCAGATGAAATGAAATGTATTTTCCCAGAATGCATTAGGATGTGATTGGACTGGTTAATAGTCAATTTTTAAGTTATTAGGAAGTGTTTTCAAGTTCAAGCAAATGTATATTTCACACCTAAAATAATGTCAGTGAATTAAAAACTAGAAAAAAAAAGTATTTCTAAAGTAGACCATGCTTTTTACACATTGGATATTTCTTTTCAGCTAAAGTAGTTGATGATGTTGAAGAATGTTCTATTTTTAGCAACACTGGTTGAAGTTGTATAGGGCAGTGATTTTCAACCTTTTTCATCTCATGGCACACATAAACCACTTACTAAAATTCTGTAGCACACCAAAAAATGTATTTTAAGAGACATTTTAAGAAACGGTGTTTTGCCATAGTGTACATTTTATTCACTAGAGATCTAAATGTTGAATAATCTCTCTAATTAAATATTTTTGAAAAACAACATATATTAAACTTGCTTGTTGACATTTTAAAATGTCTTTTCCATCAAGAGTCAATTCTTAAATGTTAATATTATATCTATGTTCTTAGACAGTGAGAACCATACCAATTTAATATTTAATTATTAAAAGTTCAAATATATTTACATCCAGTGTAAAATATTTAAATTTCTACTTTTATATCAAGTTCGAGCTTAGTATGTAACTTGAGGTAACAAAGTCTTCAGGATAATTAATAAGTTTGTCAGGTTTAATAGTTATGGTCCATAGGTAATTCGCCTGAAATGTGTAATTTTAGTGACCAGCAGGGGGCTCTCTGTGTCCATGATCCATACATTTAGCGATGTTTTCTTGACACATTAGTTAGATTCTTTCTGTCAATGACATTTTCTTCTAACAAGTTGTTAACTTCTGGGCTCTTTTAACCAGAGACAAATGTGCACAAACGATTTTTAGAATCCATGCATTGCTCTACTTCCTCACTTATGCTATTCTGCATCAGGGATATTGGGCCTTGCTGATTTGAAACAGGAGGGAGTGTTTCAATCCCCAAGGTACTATTGCTTCATTACTAACCAGTTAATCTACATCCTGGCCATTTCTCAAATTAGTATGTAGCACTTCATATGGTAAATAAGATGATTTCAAGAAATGTTTGCACTTGCAGTTGCTCAGCTGTGTTTTGATCCTGCTGGTCTGTTTGTAGGTGTGTTTCTGCACATCCTCGCAGACACGCTGGGGAGCATCGGGGTGATCGCGTCCGCCATCCTGATGCAGAACTTCGGGCTGATGATAGCAGACCCGATCTGCTCCATCCTCATAGCCATGCTCATTGTCGTGAGGTAGGTGTCGCTGTGTCGCTTCGGAAGGATTACGTTGACAAAGAAACTGGGCCGAGTGGAGGAAAGGATAAGGAGAAAAGCACCTCTCCTCCCACCAGCCAGGAGAACTGTGTGGATAACTTGGCTATTCTTTCGGCTTTTTCCTTTTCTTCCAGGCCTCTGCTTTGTGGGTTTTTGTTTGTATTACGTGTAAAATTATATTCTGAGTAAGAAAACCTTTTTTAGCTTTTTTGGATTATAAGCTTATAGTCAATATAGGAAACTTGGAAAAGGATGAGAAGTATAAAGAAAAATCCATCAGGAGGACAGCACCTGGAGGTGACATTTCCTCTGTTAGCAGTATTTCTTTAGTCATTTTTAGGCTTTTTTTTTTTTTTTTTTTTTTTTTACATTATTGAATCTCTGGTCTCTGTGCTGATTGTTGAGCTTGGCCGGCGTTAGCGTATCCCCAGCTTCTGGGTGAGAGGTAGTGCAGCTGTTATTTTAAGTCTATAAAGTTTCAGGATGATTAGTTAGCTAGCAAGGTCTTAATTCAATGACAATAAATAATAACAATGTACAGAGCAACATATAAGGACGATTCATCATTATTATATTTATTTATTTTTAGGGAGGGAAGAAGGGAGAGGATAGATAGAAATATCAGTGATGAGAGAGAATCATTGGTTGGCTGCCTCCTGCACGCCCCCTACTGGGGATCAAGCCCACAACCTGTGCATGTGCCCTGACTGGGAATTGAACCAGCAACCTTTTGGTGCATGTCATGACGCTCAACCAACTGAGCCACTCCAGCCAGGCAAGAATGATTTATTATTGTAAAGCACATATTTCTCTTTCCCTAGATGAGGGGGAAATATATATATAGCATGTGTATAGTATTGTAGTATGTGTGTGTGTGTATATACATATATATATATGTGTTTGTGTGTGTGTGTATATTGTATGTATATATATATATTCAGCCCTGAATGCTTGCTATGTGAGTCTTTCCAGGTGTAAGTATAAAATTACGCTCTTCCCTAATGTCTTCATGGCAAACCAACATTTCTGACTTGATCTTAAAAAACATCATTTTTTAAAATGGAGGGCAATAAAAAAACCTTCAGCTTCAAAGTACAAAATAAAGACATTCCAATTATCTACTTTTCTGTTAAGAAAGCAAACTTAATTTACATAAATGTTCACATGATAATGAAATATGTGCAAGATCACTCTGAGATGTTTTTCAAATTGGTCTAAAGACTTTGCCTGATTAGCCAAAGAAGATTTTAGGAAATAAATGAAAACTCTTATAGACACAACAAAATAGACGATAAAGGAGTCATTTTCCCTCACCCTTAATTTTTATATATATTTGCAATTCATCAAGAGCAAAAGAAGTAATGGGACTTTATACATTCTCTGCATTTTAATGTTCCTCAGTGGAGAGCCTGCCATGGAAATGGATGTCTCCCTTCCAGGCTGCCTGCCCAATGTTCCATTTTCACTTGCGCAGTGAAAGTGATTGCTTAGAAAAAGAGTTTTTCTCTTACCATTTCCTAGCGCAGGCAAATGGTGATAGATATTTCTGGGTAAAACTGGTGGTGCTGTGATGAGTTTTGTTTCCCAGGAAAAGCAGCAGATTGAGGGTGACAATGAGAGCGCAGCTTTTATTTTCTGAAAATGTACGCTTCTCGCAAGAGGCTTCAGAATGGCTTGCTCCTTTTCCCATTAGCCGCTGAATTGGAATGGAGAGTAGGTTCGTGACTGAGATGCAGACCTTTGAACAGTCTGTAGTAACTGAATTTCTCTTGAAAGCGATGCCCTTTGCCCAGATCTGTGGCTTGATTTCTGAGTTACTTAAATAAAAGAGGTACCTATGCATGATGGGAAAGAAACACATAAACAGGATGCAGAAATGAGCAGGGACTGGGTGGTATTTCCAAAGCCTTGCTGAAATGTTTTAAATTCGTTTTCTGCAGGTACCATCTCACGGTGCTTTGTGCATCTTAACCATAATCATTAGTTAGTACAAAGAAAAGGTTGCAAAACTTTCTTTTCTTTTACTTCTGGTCATATTGAAGACACAAACAGCTCAATTTCTAGAGGCAATCTAGGGCAATAGGCTTTAGAAATGACAGATAATGGTTGTAAGAGAGATACGGAATGGAAACAATGTGTACTAGTGAAACCAAATTATGAATTTGAAATTCTAAATCATAAGCAATCATCCATGTTCAGGAAGATAGGACTTGGACTAGATACTAATATTGATAAACCTTGTTGATTCTGTGGTCAAATAGGTAATTATTCGTAGTCAATATTAAGTAATTGTAAGTCAAGTAGGTAATTATTCATAGCTGATAGTAAGTAAATGTAAGAATTAAAAAAAATGTAAAAAGCTACCATGTCATTTATGAGAAATTATGGAGATACACTTTTTAAAAAAGTGGTTTTGGGTGGTGTCTTAAAAGCTTCCTTTGTGGGTGCCTTTCAAGTGGTTATCATTTGAGAACTGTACTTTTTGGAACTAAGATAAAGAAAGAGGTTCTCAGGATTTTAACTTGGTGCTTGTATTTATATATGTATCCACAATGGGAACATTTTTGCCTAGTAATTGTATATAAAACCATGAGAGAACATTTGTAAATACTGATTAGTCTAATACCCTTTCTCAAACATCATTCCTAATTTAGCGGTCGCCAGCCTTTCGGACCTCGTGGACCACCTGTGGTTCACAGACCACAGGTTGGTGACCGCTGCCCTAATGCGTTACAGCATGCATGTGCATGTGCATGTAATTGTTAGCTTCTCACCTACACATCTAGAAAGTTCTGATCATGCACTATCCTTGGGGGAATTGAGAAATGTCACTCGTGTCATTCCTTGTGTTCAAAGATTGAGATGAAGCGCCCAATGGGGTATTCTTCCTGATAGACTACATGTCAGCTCACAAAGGAAGACCTAACAGTGACTCCAGCATCTTCTTAAGGTCACTTAAGGTTCCTGGCAAGCAGAGCCAATGCAATAGTGTTAGTGATCATTAGCCAATAACACTAGAGATGCCCAACTGGCAGGTGCAAAGACACCAACTTTACATTAGACTTTGCAGTACCTCAGACAGACACCAGGTGGAACCCTAGGACTGATTTCCTGCAGCTGCAGGAAGCCTGGTATTGCAGACAAGAATTCCTGAGTAGAAGCCAGCAACCTTTCCAACAGGAGACACCATGCACCTGCCAGACAGGACACGTGTGCAGACAAGACTCTTCAGGATTTCCCGCCTGGCTACGTAGAGAAAGACCTCCCTTAGGAAGCCAGACCACAAAGTCTAGAGTCGTGGCTGATTCTTCAGATACTGAAACCCAAACAAAAAAATAAGAGATACAAAGAAACGACAACTATGACACATTTAAAGGAAACATTCAGTCTCCAGAAACCAAGCCTACAAAAGGGAGACAAGTCTACAAAACGGAGACAGAATTCAAAATTACCGTCATAAGGGTGCCCAGTTGATTGAAAGAAAGCAGACATAAAACAAAAGCAGAAAAACGGTACATGAACAAAATGAGAATATCAGCCAAGGGAGAGAATCTATTGCGGAGAGAGAGCCCTGCAGACATTCTGGAACTGAAGGATAATAAATAATAACTGGATGAAGATTTCCCCGGAGGGACGCAACAGCAGATTTCACCAGGCAGAGGAAGTGTCCGTGAACTCAGATATAGAACTTAAAAAATGACTGAGGCGGGGGAGGAAACCAGTCTGTCAATCATGTAGAGGGTCAGCAAGGAAGAAGACTTGAACAGCACTGAGGCCCATTGGCTAACAGCCAGATAGAGACCACTCCACCCAACAGCAGCAGGACACACATTCTTCTCACACCCATGCGGGTGTCCTCCCCAATAGACTACATATCAGGTCGCAAAAGAAGCCCTAACAGTGATTCCAACATTTCCTTACGGTCACTTAAGGCCGTCGTGAGGATCAAATTAGAAAAAAAAAAATGTATGAAAGCACTTTAGACATTATTAAGTGTTGTCTAAACAAAGACGCTGCTAGTTGTTTATAAGTTGGCATTATTTACGGATGCTTTCGGTTCAAAGATCAGATGCATGACATGTTACAACTGAGTTCCAGAAGTTTAAGGAAAAGGCGGCCTCTGCGTGGCTCTGGCCCCAAGTTCAGGGGTATTTTAGGGCATCTCCTTCCCATTACTGAGCACTGTAGATGCTCTCAAGACGCACTGGTAAGCCAGTGGTTTGGAAACGTCGTATAATTGTAAGGGAAGCCACTGGCCTTGTGGTTTGGGGTTATCTGTTCTAAGTTAGGCTTAGGAAATTCTGGGTTAATAGTAATTGTCTTTCACCACGGAGTAGTTGTGTTTATGTAAAAGTGACAGCATACTCTGCCCACCACAGGACCGCATGTCTAAGCGAAGAGTACATTACAGTTTGGGGTCAGGGTTTTTTTTTTTACTTTTTTGTCCACTAAACATTCTGGAGTATGTGACATACACCAGGCCTTCACATGTATGCATTCTTCTAATGCATCTTTCTTTCTCTGTGTGTGTCTAGTAGAAGCACCACTGATCAAGTGCAGGAGGGCGTGGCTCAGGAGCCAAATAAAAGAGCTGAAGTAGTAATTACGTTTCGGTCGTTACTATTGGGTATTTACCCCAGGTCTAAGCAGTTTCAGTTCTTACCGTTACACACGATCATCACTAGGCCCGTGCCCTTCAGAGGGTTCCTGCCCGAGACCCTCCTGCTGGGAGGGGGAGGCCCTCCCACAAAAGCCGCTTTTGAAGTAAGATCTGAGTGTATTTTCATTCACAAAATTACTAGCCATAGAGAATAATGACTAAGGCGCGTATTTAGTCTGCGAGGGTTTCCGCTTTCGCATTTCAATGCACATGCAAGATCGTATGATTATAAATTTGATTTTCCTTCAGCTTTTGAAGAATCAAGTCATTGCCCTGTTTTACTGGTAAACGCAGAGCACATGACTCCCGCCTTTCTGTGCAGGCTGGGAAGGCGGCGTTGCATTGTTCAAGCTGGAATCGAGCTGGTGGACCAGAAGCCGACCTCTAATTGTTTCCAAATGCTTGCTTTTGGGGTTTGGAGGCAGTTCTGAGTCTGAGCTCAGGCAGGAATTTGCTACGCTTGTCTTTTTCCCCATATCTATCCTTTCATTATGGCTAGATACACTCATGCTCAAGTCTGCTTCGCCAGTCCCCTTTACAATAGTTAATCGGAAAAATATGGACCCAAACTTCTGAGCTAAACACAATTTTAAAAAACAAAGCTAGAGTTTCTACAGGTTTCTTTGACATACTCATGGCCTTTGAAATTATTACGGAAATTGACCTTGGTTCCGAATGGCATTTCACCACATGATTCAGCAAGCACCCTTTTCTCCTCACCGCGGCTTCGAGACCCCGTTACAGCTCCTGCAGCTGCGATTCTTATGTGACCTTAACCTTCTCGTTGGAGTGGTGCATCCATGCGCTCTGGCGACCTGCTCGCTGCTGTTGAATGTAAGCATTTCATTAAAACTCTGTCCAAACAGGCCACCTTCCCAGATGTCCTAGGGTCATGGCCGGCAAACTGTGGCTCGAGAGCCACATGCAGCTCTTTGGCCTCTTGAATGTGGCTCTTCCACAAAATACCACGGCCTGGGTGAGTCTATTTTGAAGAAGTGGCGTTAGAAGAAGTTTAAGTTTAATAAATTTTAATTGTACTGTTGATATTTGGCTCTGTTGACTAATGAGTTTGCCGACCACAGTCCTAGGGCAGTAAAATCACAGCACCTCGAGGGACCCTTACTGACAGGACACGCTCCGTGTTATCCTTCCATCGTGACAGTCGTGGTCTCCACTGGAGTGTACTGCCCACCGACCTCTCAGGCACCAGCAGATCCTGGGGTTACAGATGGGAGAACCACTTACCACAGTAGCTGGATTTAAGCTGGATGGGGAACCGCCCGCTCATTTCTCCTCACGGTGATTGTCTAGGATAGGGGTGTCGAACTCAATCAGAGAAGGGGCCAAAATCTAAAATCCAGCCTAAATCGTGGGCCGAATGGTTTACTGAACAGTCATAAACTGTCATTGTGATGGAAACGCAGCGGAGTGCAGTGATGACAGCGCGGTGCGGGCCACATTGCAAGGCATGGTGGGACGGATTTGGCCTGCGGGCCTTGTGTTTGACACATGTGGTCTAGGAGGACAGTGCGGGGCGGAGGAAGACATGGATTGCTTTCAGGGTATGAGAGCAGCCCTCGGGAGCCTTTTCCTGGGAATGAGGATGGGGAGGGAGACAGACGTGTCACATGGTTGACTAGTCACCGCATGCTTTTCTTTGCCTTTTTCTGAACCCGGGGTCCTCGCCTGTGCAGTGACAGCACAGCGGACGGAGCAGGCACCTCGCTCCGGTTAGAGGACGGAGCGGCTGCCAGATCCTTATCCCTGTTTCCAGCTGCCCATTTCCTCCAGCCTGTCGGTAGGAGCAGAGAGGACATTCCCTACAGTTTGGAGGACAGCTTGGATCAGGAAAGATGCCCTAAAAGGGGTGACACTGGAGGTTTTAAGGAAGGAACAGAAATCAGGTTAGAGGGCTGTTCAGGGACACTCTAGGCGGAGGTTACGCCTGAGCCAGAGCACGGAAGGAAGAAACAGCGGAGGGAGGAGTACAAGCTGTTTACGGTCAGAGCTTACAGTGAAGCGGGGTGACGGGAGGTGAAGCCAGAGGGCCAGAGCCAGAAACATGCCACGCTGAGGAGCTGGCACTTCCGCCGGCAGCCGGCAGCTTGAACAGGTTTCTAATGGGAGGGAGGGGCTCAGACTGGCTTTGGAGAGAGCGGTCTGGCAGCTTTCTAGAGCGTGGATCGGTCACCCAGGGGAGCATAGCAGGCCACACAAAAGCCCAGGCGTCGAAGTAACATATGCTCTCCCTGGTTGACCTTGGTTCAGGAGCCCAGGCTGGCACAGGGTGTCTCCCAAAGCCGTGACCAACGAGTCAGCCAGGGCCACCTGGGGAGACCCACTCCAGGTCACTCCGTGGTGGGTGGGGTACTGAGTGGGGCTGGGCCTCTGGACTGAGGGTCTTGATCCTCTCCAGGGGCACCCTCCGCCCCTTGGCCAGGGCCGCCCCGAGACAGCTCACAGCGTGGCAGCTGGGAGCCGGCACCTGCACGCGGGCGGGGAGGGCGACCAAGTGGGAAGCCAGAGCCTTTTGACCTTAGAAGTGACATCTCGTCACGTTGCCATGCTCTTCGTGAGCGGCAAGTCCCCAGCTGGTCCAGGGAAGGCGCACCTGAGGGTACATTGGGAGGCAGGGTCATGGGGTCCGTCACTGTGGACCCCAGAGCGGACTGGGGGCAGGGGACCACTTAGGAGGCGGTGGGAGTAATCCGGTGAAGTGATCACTGTAGACACGTGACCGCAGGAAGGGGAGGGGAGGAGCCAGGAACTGTTTGGACGCCTTGACCTTCCCTCGGAGGTTCCGATTCACTGTCAGGTGAAAACAGGCAGGACTCCAGGTGGATCTGGCTCAGAATCCCCGGCCTCAGAGCCGCCCTCCCACACACCGTTCATCGCGTTTAACCGTCAGCATGGAGAGCAGCACTTCCCCACCCCGGGAGGACCGGCCTGTCAGGGGGGCAGCAGAGCTGTGCGTGGGCTCAGGCCTCTTGTGTAAGCCCGCGGTGGGGCAGGTGCGGCTCCCGCAAAATCGTTGGGTCTGTCCCTGCCTAGGCATGAGGGGCGAGTTAATTAAATGTTGGACCAACAGCAGCCTAAGTTTTAAGATGATAATGTGTGTAGCCCTCGAATATTGTTATAAAGACCCAAATGGCCCTCGGCAGAGAAAAGGTTCCCCACCCCAGGTTTAAATAATGAAAGAAGACACATATACTCGGTTGGAAAAATATTAGCAACTGGACTAACATTTTTGTGTTTTTCCTAACATTCTATTGAGCGCGTGTGGACCGGGCGGCCTGGGAAGACTGGAGTCTGTTTCAGGAACATTCCGCTGACCGCCGGTCCAGATCTCAGGCGCACTAGTTCGGTAGTGCACGTTTCCTGGTTTAGACACAGACATGTTAATCTAGCGCTTCACTTTTCCTTTAGATGATAGCTTGTTGATCACATGAACATCTCACGTTCCACTCCAGAGAGGGGCGCTCTGCGCTCTTCCAGACAGGCTGTCAGACTGGCTCTAACCACCTGCGTCCTTCTCCCCAGTGTCATCCCTCTCCTGCGGGAGTCGGTGGGCGTGCTGATGCAGCGGACGCCGCCGCAGCTGGAGGGCGCCCTGCCGCAGTGCTACCAGCGGGTGAGTCTCGGCCACCGGCCTGGCCGTGCTGCTGCCACACGGTAGGCCGTTAAGGGCTGGGAAAATGGTGATGCAGAGTTGTGTGGGGGGAACGAGTGTGTTTGAGGAAGAGAAGGGCCAGTGGCTGAGGTGTGAGGAAGAGCAGAGGGGCCGGGAAGTTTGGAGAGAGGGGCAGGGGACAGGTCATGCCCAGGTTTGGGGCTTGCTAAGAGGTTTAGCTCTGATGAAATGGGAGCATCAGAAAGCTTTAGGCTAGAAGAGGGTCGTCCCACGCACCAAGGTTGTGGGTTGGATCCCTGGTCAGGGCACACACAGGAAGCAACCAAGAAGCACATCAATAAGTGGGACAACACATCGGTGTTTCTCTCACTCTTTCTCTCGCTCGCTCTAAAGCCAACCAATTAAAGAGGAAAAAAGAAACACTGGCTCCAGCTCACTGACCTTTTCAAAGGACTGGTTTTTCCATCTTGTGAGTTTTCTCTTTTCAACTCCCTGGACCATTGATTTTGGCCTTTTTATGTCCTTCTTATTTCTTTGAGTTTATCTTGTTTCCCTCGTTTCTTAGCTCACTTGTTCCCATTTGAACGTGTACATTTCTTTTAAAAAAATATATATTTTATTGATTTTTTTTTTTTTTTTACAGAGAGGAAGGGAGAAGGATAGAGAGCTAGAAACATCGATGAGAGAGAAACATCAATCAGCTGCCTCCTGCACACACCCTACTGGGAATGTGCCCGCAACCAAGGTACATGCCCTTGACTGGAATCGAACCTGGGACCTTTCAGTCCGCAGGCCGACGCTCTATCCACTGAGCCAAACGGGTTTCAGCTGAATGTGTACATTTCTTCCAGGCACTCTCAGCGGTGCCCGACAGCTTTCGGCATATGCTCATTCCTGTTTCCCAAACGCCTGCCTGTCAGGGCGCCCCGGGCACACAGTGAGCCCCAGGGTTTCGTGGATTCACACCCCCCCTTGTTTGCTGGCGGGGAAGCTCCGTGCGGACTGACATGCTGCCTGGGAGTCAGAGCGGGAGGGGCCCCTGCGCTCGAGGGTGTTAATCCCCGCCTTTCTCTGCAGGTGCAGCACTTACAGGGCGTCTACAGTTTACAGGAACAGCACTTCTGGACCTTGTGTTCTGACGTGTACGTCGGGACCCTGAAGTTAGTGGTGGCGCCTGACTCTGACACCAGATGGATTTTAAGCCAAACACACAATATTTTTACTCAGGTATGACTTTTTTTTACTAACTCCTTTATATCTTAGAATTTATTGTATCTACCATTTTAAAAATATTTACTACTTAACATAGCCAAAATATGTATATTTATATGCTGCACCGTGAAGTAAGCACAGATGTGTTTTTCTTTTTCAATCCCAGAGTCAGATTTGGGAGATCCTTATTTTAGTTAATCCTCACCATTATACTGATTTGTGTTCCTTTAAGGAAAAGTGATTCCCCTTTGCTATATGATCCTTTAAGACGTGCGAGATACCGTGTGAAGCCAGGCATTCTAAGCGTTTGGGACAAGAATAACGCCTTGTCCGCGGTTTTAGCTAAAGGCAGCCTCTGCCAGCATTTCAATGTGACGGCAGATCTGCCGTTCAATGGCTTACTGTGCCGTGGAGTTCTCTTCTCTCTGTCTGGGAGCAGGAAGCAGCCCGGGCAGTGGGCAACATTGTTATATATCAGCGAATGCTGATGCGCCGTGAGCCACAGTGACTGGTAATCGGCGTGAGCGACCACTGTGATTCTGGATGTCCCGAGAGCAAGACTTTATGTCAGGAACATTCACGGGGAAGAGCGAGAACACACGCATTCTTTTCTTGGTCTGGTTCGCTGGAAATACTTAGCGAGAAACTAGATGCCAACACAGTTGCCAGAGCCGTCTTAGCACATGGAGCTCGTGAGGAGACGCATCACGTGCCCTAGAGGTCTGTGCTGGAGACCTGGGAGCGCCGCCTGCCAGCCCAGCCCATCACAGCAGCCAGACCTGCTGTGGACCTTCTGCTGGGGGTCAGCCTGGCTTCTTACTGGCTGTCAATGTCATGAAAGGAAAAACAACGGCGGGGATTATTCTAGATGAGAGAGGGAGAGAGATGTGGAATCTGTAGGCACGGACAGCAAAGAGAACCGCAGCTGAGTTAGATTCAGGCCCTGCTCGGAGACAAGCGCTCGCTCTTCTCCAGAAGAGGAAAGTGGGCCTGCACCTTTGGGGCTAAATGACATCATCGCCCGCAGGGACAGGGACTCCCTGCGGTGCTGCGGGGTCGCAGAACCAGCCTCTTGGTGCACAGACACTAACAAGTCTCATGTGACTCCCATTTGGTCTGGGCGATGTCAAGCGGCTACCGTATGACACAGGCTACGTCATGTGACTTCCACGTGAAGCGGGCTAGGCCTGCAGGGTGTCTGAGCTCGCTGCTGTTTCCAGATCACTGATCTCTCCTGTAGCCTCAGTTTCCCCTGGGAGCGCCCTTCCACCCTGTCCACCTCGGACCCGGCCTCTACGGGCCTCAGCCCCTCCGGGACCCGGCTGATCGAGCTTGCCCTCCGAGAAGGCCCGCTGCCCGGCAGAACCGAGTCGACAGAGGCGGGCTGTAACCGGAGGACAGGCTCTGCCGGGAACCCTTTAGACAGCCCGGGCGGGAGGTTTACTCAGCTGCTGCTTTGGTTTTGGGAAACCGTATTTGGGTTTTGAAAATGTTAAGCCCTGGAAAATACTCAAAGCCTTTTTGTCAGCTAAGGGCAGGCCACTTCATTCCGTTCCTCGGAGAGGCCGAGGCCCGTGGTGCAGACGATCGACACGTTTTCCCAGAGGGGAGAGGGGTCGCCCCGATAATGCCTCTCAGCCGTAGATTTGCGAGTGCCTTTGTGACCGCTCTTCAGTCCGCCACGTGCAGGACTGAAGCGCTTTGTTCATTTGTGTGTCCTTTCTGCTCGTGCCCTCGATGCATGTCCATGTGCTTCGTTCATCCAGGGTTTGCAGTCAATTTCCTTTCATGAATAAAATGTCAACATTTTTACGTTTACATTTTTAATTACACCTTGTTCATAGGGCTTTCTCAATAGGGCTTTCTCAACGATATGCTTACTCTTTGGTTTTGTGACATGTTTTGGTGTCTTCTTGTAGCTGATTTTCACATCAGAATTTAAGTAATTGTTTTGGTTAAAAAGCTATTAAAATTTCTCAGGAGAACTTGAAACCGGGAAGACTGATAACTTCAGAAGCATCAGAAATGTGACCTTCCATTTTGCCTGTGAAGCGATGTTTTCTGACAGTTTTAGGACTGCCTATTAGGCCTGGCCTTTTCACTCCCATTTCAGTCTGTTAGTCTCCCATGGCTAGAGCCGCTGCTCAGCACGGATCTACAACTGGCAGCCTCTTCAGTACCCAGATTCCTCTGGGAGTATTAATTAATTAAGTGATAATCCAGTTTTTAAACTACAAGGTTTCCTATCGGCATAGAAAAAGTCTTTTCTTTCTTTCTTCCTCCCGTTGTATGAACTCTTTAAAAAAAAAAAAAGAGTTATCATTTGAGAATTGGTGAGATAGAAAACTTATTTATTTATTTAAAAAATATATTTTATTGATTTTTTACAGAGAGGAAGGGAGAGGAATAGAGAGCTAGAAACATCGATGGGAGAGAAACATTGATCAGCTGCCTCCTGCACACCCCCTACTGGGAATGTGCCCGCAGCCAAGGTACATGCCCTTGACCGGAATCAAACCTGGGACCTTTCAGTCCGCAGGCCAACGCTCTATCCACTGAGCCAAACCGGTTTCGGTGAAAACTTATTTTTTATTTTAGTATTTGAACAGGAGAAAGTGGGACGCTGGGTTAGGAGGGCCATTTAACATTTTGTTTCTTGTATTAAATTGGCCGGATGAAAATCATGTCAATTTTTTAATACACTTCTGTTTTGTGGGAAATAACGTTTGAAGAAAAATCTAGGATGTACCCTCTCAGTTGCCCAAGCACGCCATCTGCTCCCTCGGAACCTCTCCTCATTTCTCCCTTCCTCTCTCCTCGGCCTGCTTCTGGGTGCCATTCAGCCCTGAGCCCCAGCTTCCTGCTTCAGCTCTTGGGGCCCCACTCTTAGTCCCAAAATAGAAGTCACAGCTGATCCCCAGGAAGGAACCCGGAGCCTCCTCACAGGCAGCTGGGCTTCAAGCACTCCCGGCGCCACCCCTGCGCCCCCTCCCTTCCTGCCTCACCGGGCTGCCCCCCCGCCTGGCTGCGGGGAGGCAGGGCAGGTGGCGGGGGAGCTGCCTCCCCCTTCCCAGGCGGCCGGCTGTTCCGCACCCGCTGGTGGGGGCCGACTCGGTTATAAATTGACTTTGCTGGCAGGTCTGCCTCTTTCCTTACCTGCCCTTCCGTTTTCTTTCTTCATCACACGTGCTTGCGGCCCACAGCCGAGGAGGGGAGAACCCAGCCTCCGAGGAGGGGAGACCACAGCCGAGGAGGGGAGACCACAGCCACGGGGGTGAGGCCTCGGATCCCTGGGCTGGTGCTTTGTGGGGCCACAGGTTCAGGCGTTTGTTCGTGGAATGGAATAGCTCCTGCGGCCTTGACCGACAGCCCCCGTCTGTCCTTCCAAGACTGTTGTCCCCAGTTTATAGGGAAAGGAGCCCAGACACCAGCCACTGCTCGTGACCTGTGACCTCCTCAGATTCCCCGTTTACTCATTCTGAGCTGATTTAGTGGAGCGTTTTGGTAGTTTTGGAGAATAGATAGAGAATACAAACCAACCAGTCATTCTCAGTAGCCACATTCCTGTTGATGTTTCTACATTTACTTCCGGTTCATTGAGTGAGGATGTTGTAAGTCTGTGGCACCGGGTTACAACATTTATTTTCTTGGGCGCATCGGTGTTACAAAGCACGGGCTGTCTTTCCAGTTTGAACAAGGGTTCTGTGAGCTGCACTGTTCTCAGGATATAAGACAGGAGTGTCCTGTGGGGGAGGACAGTGCCCAGGCAGCCCTGGGACAGCTGATGGGACCCGAAGGGCTTGGATCTGCTGGGTGTTGGTCAGGAGTCTAGAGTGAGTCAACTGGACAGGGACCCTGGTTTGCATTCTTTGGAAATTCTCCTTTTCTCTCTGCCTTAAAGGAAATCAGGAGAGGAAAGTGGGAAGCTGGCCAAGTGGAGGCTGTCCCCATGGGGACAGGTGGGGGGCAGGTGGAGGAAGCAGAGTGGCTTCTGTGAGACTGAGCTTCTGTGGGAGCTGAGCCCCTCAGGGGACAGCGAGTAATTAACTCACGATTATGCAAAGATCATTTAGCAGCCCTTTGATTTTCTCTCTGCATTGCTTTCTCTCTCATAGCCTTGGGCTACCTCATTGCTTATCACCATAGCTCTGGGTGTGCACACACACACAGCTCTGTTTCCCCCATTTTGCTTTCATTAACAGTTCTGTTAAAAGGGAAGAGAAATGAAGCCGTTTATTTGGGCTCCAGTTTTGTCTTCAGGGTAAGACAAACTAGAATTTTATAGGAGAGTTCCTTAGTATAGTTACTTTGGGGGCCACATGGGTTGACTAAATCAAATATAATGAATCAATCATAATAATTTGCTTTAATAGCCTATTAGAGCATAATAAATCCTTTCTCCTATCACACATGATCCTTATAATAGCACCTGGCATGTAGCAGGATTTATTACGTATTTGTTACACGGGATGACTGTGTAACAGTTTTGTGAGATAAGTAGGGTTGGTATTTTATCAACACTTTCAAAATAGAAAAAGCGAGTTGGTTTTAACTTGAGCTCAAAATCATACGGATGTGAAGTTCTGTCCTTTTTTTCTTTTCTTTTCTGCCACCCTCTTAAGGAGAGGGTGCTACTGAGTGTGTTTTAAAGACTTCACCTTGATCCCAGCGAGGGTTTCTCTTCTAAATGAGGAAAAAGCGAAGATGCCTTCTGTGCTGGGCGCTCCTGGGCCGCCCAGCTCTTCATTCCGTTAGAGAGACGGTGACCTCATTTCCCCCACACTCAGGGGTACGCCTGTCATTGGTTGCGTGGCTTTCTCTCGTAGAGGTAATTGGGGACTTCTTTTGTGATTTATGAATATACTTGTTACTCTCTATGATGTAAAATAGAGGCAGAAAGGAAAAATCATTCATTTAAATGACTTTCCCGAACTGTATAGTTTGTTACTGGCTCGTCTGATTTTCTGATTTTCTTTTGAACTTTTCAGGCCGGAGTGAGACAGCTTTATGTACAGATCGACTTCGCAGCCATGTGAGGAGCGAGAAACTGCTGCTTTGGGGACCTCATCTCTGGTACTGTACAACCCTGAACATGTGCCCGGCAATCTGAGACAGGGCAACACTACAGCGCCAGCCCAGGTAGACCAGAAGACCCGGTCAGCGCTATGCGGGCGGTCACCACTGGGGGGCCAGGGTACAGACCCTCCCCCGGACTTGGGTCTGGCCCCTGTGCTGTCCCCGCCGCACCGTTGTGATCTCTGAGATGCTTTTTGTTTGTTTCTCCCTTTTCTTTTTTCGTTTCCAATGTCCTCACGCCACCCCTCCTCCTGGCCAGTAAGAAATTCAGATCGTGGCCTCCAGTTGTCTGGACCGGCTCCACTGAGGCCGCTGGAAACTGCTGCTCTCATTCCCACAAAACCAGTGTTCTTACAGAAAGAGCGAGAGCCGGGAATCCGTTTTATATGTAATGTCACACTCGCTGACGTTCTTCGGTGTAATCACATGTCTGTAAAATTGTTTGTACCTTGCAAACTTATGAAGCAAACCATATTGGGTTTTCCAAGTGCCTTCGCCTCAGAAAAATGTATTTGCCAGCATCCGAGGTCATGTCTGTTTCTCTAAGTGGGTATTCTGTCATCTGCACAAAATGAGACTCTAGTTAGCGGTGTGCACCGTGTGTCTTTCTATGGACTTCCAGCAGAGGTTTAGATCTATGGAAAGTTTCCGTCATTGCTTTATCTCCACACACACACACACACAAAAAATAAATAAAAGGTGATTTTTTTTTTTTTAAATCAGATTCAATAATTACATTAAATTACTTTGTGAAATGTGTTTTCCAAACTTGGCAAATGCATCTGTTTTAGAGAGTTGCTCTGAGTTTCTCCACGATGTGCTAGATTCCAGATTTCTACAACAGCTCCCGTGTCTGTGACCGACTTTCCCGTGTCTGTCCTTGCTGTTTTCCGTGGGCTTTGTTAACGAAGGAAGGATTTTATGAATGCAGTGGAGATGGCAGTGATGGGGCTGTGTCACTTTGCTTCTCCATCCTCCCAATGACGTCACACGGACGCACGGAGCTGCCTGCTGCTGTGCTGGGACTGTGGACGCTCAGGCCGGTGCGGGAACAGGGCGCCTCCTGGCACAGTGCCTCAGGGCTCACAAATAAGTCCACGTCTAGGCTCCTGTGTGAGAAAAGCAACATCGCACTTGGAGGTGACGGGTGCTGGACCAGTCCGCCGAAACATTCCGTTGGAGGAGATGCTGAGCCGGGTAGGCGTTTCCTACTGTACTTCCTTCTGCCGCGGGGCTTCTCCCCTGGTGACTTAGACCACAGCCTGCAGGACGGAGATGGCTGTGGGGACTGCAGCTGAGAAGCAGCACTTTTCCACGGAGGCGGCAGAAACTGCTGTCGGTTTGTCTAAGTGCTGGCGCATCCTCTTCCTGCCTCTGACCCATGATCTGTGAATGACGCTGGTAGGAGAACCAGCCTGTCTGTGCTCTTCTTGCCTTTCCGAGCTGCCCGCGGCCACGGGCTGGCGACTGTCCCCTTTCTGCAGACCAAGCAGTATTTCCCAAAGTCTCCTGACTGCCAGGTGGTGCCAGCGCCGATAACCCCTGCAGTCGACTGTGCCAAGCCATTGTTGCGCCGTTAGGAGGGAGGTATTCAAGGGCACGTCCTGCAAATGGCACTGCTGCTCCCGTAAGCGTGAGGAGGTCACGGAGAAGCCTGGCTGGCCTCGGGGTGGGCGATGCCGGGAATGACAGGCAGGGGAAGGCGGGGACTTGGGATGTGCGCCTCTCGACACGAATTGTGTGCGATGGCGCTGCTCTCTTCCCACCTGGGAGAACGCCCACAGTGGCCTGTAGAAGGTACGAGTGCGTTCCGAGGGTCCAGTTCTGCCTCCCGCTGAGCGCTCTGCTCCCAATGAGCTTTGGTGCAAGCAGCACCTACACCACCCTCGCCATCAGGCCCGAGTGTGGGTTTCCCTTGGATGAGGTATTGACTCTACATGTGTTCGTGCAGCCGTGAAAAATCAGCGAGAAAAAGCAACCTTTCCCTCCCTCCTCGGAACTGCTCTGTCTTATCAATGTTGTTGGCCCGGATGGATCGCTCAAGTAGACCATTTCACGGAGGAAGACTACTTGATAATTGTTATAAAATACACTCAGAATATCCCTCTGGTTGGGCTGACCTTGGGTGGGGGGGGATCTCTGAGTATCTAGTACAACTTTGCCAATATTTTCAAAACCAAAATATTCTCGGAGAACAGATTTTCCCAGCTCAGGGAAAGCTTACCTTGCCAAGTAAGCTTTCCCGAGTGGAAATGTCCACCCGAGTTTTGTGAGAAGTGGAGATGGCACTGATCAAGAGGAAGGGCTTGCCCAACTCTGCAGCTCCCTTACCTGGCCGGGTCCCTGCAGAGGAGGGGCCGTGTGTACATGTAGCCGCGTGTTCCCCACGGGCATCCTCATGGTCCCCCCCACACCGACTGTCAGTGGGGGCCCGAGGCACTGGGATTCCCTCGCTTCTAGGCCTCGGCATTGATGCCAGTAACCAAAATACTGTGACTTCTGTGCACTTTGTAAAGCAGCCAATCATTGGCCTTAGATGCATTGGCTGGAGTCTGCTGATGCCTTTTCTACTATCACCCATTTTATAGGTTATTAACATGAGCAAAAATCTTGCATTTGCTTAAAACACAGAATCTGACATCTGAGGCACCTGTCTGTTCTACCTCTCATTTTCCAGATGAGAATGTCAAGCCCCAAAAGGTCCTTCCCGCCAGGGCACAGAGATGAGTAGCGGCAGAGCCAACAGGACCCGGGCCTTCGGACTCCAGGTCTAGAGCTTTCTACTCCCCTGTGCCGCCTCCTTGCGGAGTAGCTGCCTTTCTGTCCACCGGACAGACCGCCTTGTACATAAAGGCCCTTGACCTCCATTTTTGGTAATGAACGCACTTTATAAATGGAGTTTTAGTGTCTTACTTTTCATACCTAGTTATGAGGTTTAGAATAGTATTTCTATAGTATTCTTTATGGAAGATAACATTATAATTTTTTTTAAACTTTTTTTTTACTCTTTGTGAAGCCAGTTCCTGATTTTAAAAAATAATTTTTTTTTTATGACATCTGTGCATTGGATGCTTCTAACGTGAGTGGGTTCTCCGTTAACTTGCCAGGGCTGACCCCAGGGGAAGGATTGCTTCTTTTCTGCTCGCTGTGTGTTCTGGGAACTCATCCTCTCAGCCTCAGATCCTGCCATTTCCGCTTGCTCCTCTAGCATGTGGTCGCTGCAGAGCCTGGGATTGCTGCACGCTGCTCCCAGAGCCACAAAGCACTGGGCCTGACCTGCTGACTGGAACAAAATTGATTTAATTCAGGAGGGTAAAATCCTGAACTCTTACCTGAATCCCAGATGCTAAACTGCTCCTTTCAGTTCTTCATAAAAGCATTTCCTTGAGAAAGAGGTGCTCGCTTTCTGTTGCCATCTTCAAAACAAATTCCTTATTCACCCTGGCGCGATCGCTCAGTTGGTGAGAGCGTTTCCCTGACACGCCAAGGTTGCAGGTTCCATCCCCAGATACAGGAGTCAACCAATGAGTGCAAAAATAAGTGAACAACAAGAATCGATGTCTGTCTGTCTGCCTCTCTCCTCCCCCTTCCTCTCTAAAATCAGTAACTTTCCAAGTCACAAGACTTTTGGCAAAAAAGGAAACCAGCCTCTCCAGAACATTGACTGAAAGTTTTGTTAATGGGAGACTGTTAACAAAGCCCCAGAAGCCTCAGGGAGGCAGCCTCAGCCAGAGTCGGGACAGACGGGCCCGTGTTGAACCGCTTTCCAACTGTAATGACCGCTGCGAAGTGTTCTCACGCCAGGCTCTGCCTGTGGCCTTGTCATGGGACACATCCTCCCCATCATCTCTTGTGCCTAATTCCTCCCTCTGCCCCTGAACTCCACCTGCAGGCTAAAAAGAACCGCCAGGACTCTTTTAGGCACTTTGAAGCACTTAAAAAAAAAAAAAAAAAAAGTAGTGTTGACACTGATCTAGCTGATAGAGGGACTGGTCTGAAGACAGTCAGTGCCCGTGGGTGTCGAGACACGAACTCATGGCCAACAGACATGAACTTACTCGGAAGTTGCTTTTTGAGAAGTAGCAATGTGTCCCAAGTAAGCTTTTCAAAGGAATAAAACCCTTTGATGATCAGTAGTATCTATGCTTAACCCGATCCTGTGACCCTGAACTGGGCATGCATTGACCCTCGCATGCGCAGTGGCCGTGCGGTTAGCTGGTAGTTACTGTAGATACAGTGGATGCCACGGGCAGGGTTGGGCCAGGCAGAAGCAGCCCTGTGCTGCTTACTGCACAGCCCAGCTCGGCTTCTCTCGGGCATTTTTGCACAAATAAGTGACTTTACATCCCTTGGGCCCTTTCCTTTTCGAGTAGCTTGGCGAGCTGGTCCTTCCTCATTAACAGAGAAACCACGGACACGTTGAGATGTGGGCCATTCTGCATGTTGTTGGGCAGGAACTGGGCAGAGCTGGGGCCACCCGGGTTTTGTATCCTAGTGAGAAAGCTCATCGTCTCCCTTGTGATATGGACGGTTGCCACCTGTCGCTTTAAGGACACGTAGAACAAACACATCATCTGTTCCATTCACCCCATATTCCCCAAGATTTCCCAGGAGAGGTCTTGGAGGGGCCTCCATAAACACTATGTGCAGTGATTTAATATTCCTGGAGTTCCCCCTTTTCCTCTCTGGGTTATAAACTTTAGGAGAGCTTCCTGTATGTCCTCACTTTTCCTCCCTCCCCGTTGCCGCTGCCCCGGTGACTTCCCCTCCTGCTGGTGGGAACAAAGCTTTATTTTGAGCGTTTGGGTTTGGTTTATCCATCACACATCCTGCATTGATGATGCTCAGTGAACATTCCTGTTAGAACTAGATGTATCCCTGCCGAGAGTTTGCCACCTTAGCCCACTGCTTCCTTTCTAAGAGCATCAAACCCAATAGTATTTCTGCCCAACGTGTTTGAGGTTGATCAGTGAACAGAATGGGCCTTTCATGGCAGAAATACTGTGACAGAAACATTGCCAAATCCTCTCCTGGTTACCGCCTCCATGCCCCGCCGCACCTGACCTCCCTGTCTTGGGTGGCTTCCAGACTGGTGGCCACCGGACTGGCTTCTGGTTTGGGTTTGGTTCTTTTGGTAAAGACTGTGTCCGGAACACATTTCGGAGCAAGCGTTTGTGTGCACGGCGCGGCCGGAATGTCTGTTTCAAAGACGGTTGTAAATGGGTTTCCACGTGCGGAAGTGAGTTCAGTACCATAAGCCTGTGGCGTAGATTAGCTTTCTGTTACCTGAAGCCATTCGTGTGTACGTTTTGTTTAACCTCAGATGTGTTTAATACAAATAAACAACTGTATCAAAATTCTAATAAAATTTGTTTAAAAATCTTTACCTGAATTGTGCCTATCAGTTGGGTGATCCAGAAAGACTGCCAAACCTAATGGTTATTGACAGATTCTGGAGGATGGGATTGGGGGTGGGGTGGGGAGGGAGGAAGGGCAAGAGTGATTCTCAGGCCAGGAAGCAGCGCGAGTCAGCGGGGAGCGGGCAGGACATTGTGGATGTCCTCACTGTGGCTCTGACTCACCCTTTTCCCTCCTAACCATGTCTCGGTGTTTATTTCCAGATATTTCCATGAATTCAAGTGGTTCCTACCCTCATTCTCTCTGGGTGACCTCGGCATGTAGGGAGTGCAGACCTAAAGCATCTGACATCAGCCTCTCATCTTCCAGTTTTCCCCTCCAACTCAGAAGCAGTTCTCTTTCAAAGAAACTTTTTCATAAAACCGGGTCCCACGCCTCCTCCTCCTCCTGAGTGGCATCTTCGCTGGTCGCCATCCCTGCTGCTCGGAGGGCCCTGTCCTGTGTGTGCTCCCACCTGCCTCACCGTCCCACAGCTCCTGTGATGGCTCCCTCCTCCCTCGGTGGCAGTCCGTCAAAGGCCACCTGCTCTGTCACGCCCGTGGTGGGACTGCCAGCATCTCACACCACCAAAGAGAAAAACAACACAGAGCTTCCCACCCCATCTCAGGACTTCAACTGGGCTCCTCCATTTCCTGAAGGCCCATCTCAGCCCCTTTTCCTTCCTCAGCGGCCTTTCGGCTCTGTCTTTCCCCTCCCACCGCCTGCTTGCTGCCTGGGTGACCACGCAGTCACGGGGAGGGACGGTCTGGCTTCCTGCCTGCCTCATGCCACCTCTGTGCCAGACCCTCCCACGCCCACCCGCACCCCCACCCCCAGAAAGCAGGAAGTGGGCAGGAAGCGTGAGAAATTGCTGCTGAGGGAGGCTTTTGCCAGGCCCTTTACAAACACCCCCACCCCACTTCCTGGCTGCCGCCTGCACACTGGACTCTGACCCGCAGCTCCAGCACCTGCAGGACGCCCTCCCAGAATTCTCTGGAACTTGCCTCCGACCTAGCAAGTCCGCAGGCCTGGCATAGCCCTGAGGGCAGCCCGCTCTGCTCACACACAGGCGCAGGCTCGCTCTTCCTGGCAGTGGGTCACTGCAGATCTGGCGGGCTTTGGTTGCTGGAGCCCAGAAGGCTCCGTGTTCTAAGGGCCGGGTGCTCGGGGCATGGTTGTGAGGGGCTCCCTCGGAGCAGCTTCAGAAATCAGTGCTCTCCCTTCCCACGATGCGGCTGTGAGCACTGTTCACGCCCTGGACCAGAGACACTGCCACGGCAGGGAGGGGCTGCAGGACCAGACAGGTGCAGCTGCTGTGACAGCCACTTAGCATAAGGTGACCGGACGTCCCGATTTCTAACAATTTGTCCCGTGGTGTCTTAAAAAAGACCCGATTTTTTTGGGGAAAAATCGGGACTTTTTTAAAACGCTGCAGGACGCGAGACAAATTGTTAAAAATCGGGACTGTCCCGCCGAAAGCGGGATGTCTGGTCACCTTAACTTAGTACTTTCCGTTCGGATGGGAAAGAGAAGGGAGGTGCTTTAGTGGGACTGTCACTCACTCACTCACTCCGCCCATCCAGCCATGCTCCAGGCTTTGAGAACAGGCTGTGAAGTCAGGCTGAGCACATGCTGCCTGCCGTGTGGGTGTGAATGGATAGGGCACCCTCGTCGGATGAACACCTGTGACGAGGAAATCATCCAAGGCTGGCACCTCTCAGGCAGCCAGAGAACCGACCGCCTGTAAGAGCCCTGCTAGGCCCAGGACTGCAGACAAAGCCAAGCAAAACCAAGACCACTCCCCCCCCCCCATCCTCCCCACCCGCCCCCAGTATTTCCTGAGCGCAGGTGTCAGTGCTGTAAAAGGGTGTGAGCAGGCAAAGGACTCAGATTCACAGCGAAGCAGAGGTGCCCTCCCAGCGCTTAGAATCTGCACGTCTGTCGGGGCACCCTAACAGGCGAGGGGCAGGACGCAGCGTGACTAATGCATCGTCTTCAAATTCCGATTTTTAAAACTTTTACTCTGTGGTCAGCAAGTTTCCCACTTGCCAGCTTGGATATGAGTTGTTATTAAAAACCAAAGAGCAACTGTACATGGCTGGCTGCACATTTATATGAACAATTAATTACATAACCTCCCAAATATAGCCACGTCCCAGCTCCATAACTAGGACGTCAGCTAGGAAGACACGGTGATTCGGGAGGAAGTCCTTCTGTGGCAGGTGAGTGGGGAATCAGTGTGACGGAGGCCCCCACCTCGGCTCACAGCCTTCATCCACGGCTGCCAGGACCTCGTGGCTGCAGGAGGGACCTCGTGGCTGCAGGAGGGACCTCGTGGCTGCAGGAGGGACCTCATTCCTGCAGGAGGGACCTCGTGGCTGCAGGAGGGACCTCATTCCTGCAGGAGGGACCTCGTGGCTGCAGGAGGGACCTCGTGGCTGCAGGAGGGACCTCATGGCTGCAGGAGGGACCTCGTGGCTGCAGGAGGGACCTCATTCCTGCAGGAGGGACCTCGTGGCTGCAGGAGGGACCTCGTGGCTGCAGGAGGGACCTCATTCCTGCAGGAGGGACCTCGTGGCTGCAGGAGGGACCTCGTGGCTGCAGGAGGGACCTCGTTCCTGCAGGAGGGACCTCGTGGCTGCAGGAGGGACCTTGTGGCTGCGGGCAGGCAGCTGACGTAAGGAAGGAGGAAGGGTCCCGCCTGGTGCAGGCTTCCTAAGGAAAAGCTGCTTTCCACGGCTCCTGTTGGTCGGTGCCACCCTCCAGCTTCCCGCTCAGTCTGCTTCACGCATTCACATCCTGAAAATCCCAGGATGGCAGCAGCAGCAGCTGACGACGGCCGAGGGAGAGCTCAGGGCCTGGGAAACCGAGCGTGCCATCCGCTCCTTGGCGGCTTGTGCGGCGCTTACTGGGCGGACAGGGGACGCTCCCCTTGGCCGGGGCACCGGACAGAAACGAGCTCCGCAGTGTCCCGGTCCACGGACGGCGGCTACATGCGGGGCCCCTGGGGCACGGGGAACAGACTCAGCATCTCCAGCTCCAGCGGGTGCAGGCTGCCCCCCGTGATGACCAGGGAGTGCAGCGGCCCCCCCAGCGCCACGGAGCACATCTGCTGCAGCGTGCCCGCGGCGACCTGCTGGTCTTCGGCGCCCACCCTGGCCAGGCCCACGCACAGCGTCTCCTCGGTGACCGCTGGTCAACAGAGAGAGAGAGAGAGAGAGAGATTGCCGCTCAGTTCCGCAGGCGCACTAACCCGCCGGCGGTCAAGCCAACAGCGGTGCCAGCGGGACATCGGAAGGAGACCCAGGTGTCACAGCTCTCCCGATGGCTCACCGGGGACCCACGACTGACCTAACTCTTTCCCAAACTGTCTGCACTCCAGACCAGCATGAGACAGACGCCCAGAGGCAGTCAGCGCCTTGGAACAAACTGATGGGTCCAGCAAAATCTGCTGACCTTTTATTGTATGCTGTGTGTGTGTGTGTGTGTGTGTGTGTGTGATATGAGAGCCCAGCAGTATGTGTGTGTGTGTGTGTGATATGAGAGCCCAGCAGTGTGTGTGTGTGATATGAGAGCCCAGCAGTGTGTGTGTGTGTGTGTGTGTGTGTGATATGAGAGCCCAGCAGTGTGTGTGTGTGATATGAGAGCCCAGCAGTGTGTGTGTGTGTGTGAGAGCCCAGCAGTGTGTGTGTGTGTGTGTGTGTGATATGAGAGCCCAGCAGTGTGTGTGTGTGAGAGATCTGAGTATGAGATGTGAGAGCCCAGCAGTGTGTGTGTGTGTGTGTGTGTGTGATATGAGAGCCCAGCAGTGTGTGTGTCTGTGTGTCATATGAGAGCCCAGCAGTATGTGTGTGTGTGTGTGTGTGTGTGTGTGTCTGTGTGAGATCTGAGTATGAGATGTGAGACCCCAGCAGTGTGTGTGTGTGTGTGAGATCTGAGTATGAGATGTGAGAGCCCAGCAGTGTGTGTGTGTGTGTGATATGAGAGCCCAGCAGTGTGTGTGTCTGTGTGTGATATGAGAGCCCAGCAGTATGTGTGTGTGTGTGTGTGTGTGTGTGAGATCTGAGTATGAGATGTGAGAGCCCAGCAGTGTGTGTGTGTGTGTGATATGAGAGCCCAGCAGTGTGTGTGTCTGTGTGAGATCTGAGTATGAGATGTGAGACCCCAGCAGTGTGTGTGTGTGTGTGTGTGAGATCTGAGTATGAGATGTGAGAGCCCAGCAGTGTGTGTGTGTGTGTGATGTGAGAGCCCAGCAGTGTGTGTGTGTGTGATGTGAGAGCCCAGCAGTGTGTGTGTGTGTGTGTGTGTGTGTGTGAGAGAGATCTGAGTATGAGATGTGAGAGCCCAGCAGTGTGTGTGTGTGTGTGTGTGTGTGATGTGAGAGCCCAGCAGTGTGTGTGTGTGTGTGTGTGTGTGAGAGATCTGAGTATGAGATGTGAGAGCCCAGCAGTATGTGTGTATGTATGTGTGTGTGTGTGTGTGTGTGTGTGAGAGAGACCTGAGTATGAGATGTGAGAGCCCAGCAGTGTGTGTATGTATGTGTGTGTGTGTGTATGTGTGTGTGTGTGTGTGTGTGTGAGAGAGACCTGAGTGTGAGATGTGAGAGCCCAGCAGTATGTGTGTGTGTGTGTGTGTGTGTGAGAGCCCAGCAGTGTGTGTGTGTGTGTGTGTGTGAGATCTGAGTATGAGATGTGAGAGCCCAGCAGTGTGTGTGTGTGTGTGTGTGTGTGATGTGAGAGCCCAGCAGTGTGTGTGTGTGTGTGTGTGTGATGTGAGAGCCCAGCAGTGTGTGTGTGTGTGTGTGTGTGAGAGATCTGAGTATGAGATGTGAGAGCCCAGCAGTGTGTGTGTGTGTGTGTGTGATGTGAGAGCCCAGCAGTGTGTGTGTGTGTGTGTGTGAGAGACCTGAGTATGAGATGTGAGAGCCCAGCACGGACCCACGTACCTGGCTCTTCTCCGTGCGCTCGCTGGTTCCGAATCACTTCCAGCAGCTGCTCGGCCGCCTGGTTCACGGTCATGTAGCGAGGAGGCTCGTAGATCTTCCTGCCCCTGGGTAGGACACAGGCTGCCATTGGTCTCAGCCGTGAAATGCCACCGTGCACATTAACCCGGCGCCCCCAGGAACACTCGGGGACCACGCCGGGCTCTGCTCGAAGCCCGGGCGGCACCCGTGAGCTGACGTGAAAGCACCGACGCGGGGGTTTCCCCTGGGCCCCTCGAGCTTTGCTCACTGCTCACCGCATCTGCCCTCTGCGCTCACTGGCATGCTGGCAGAAACAAAAGTGCCAATGACTGGAAGACAAATGTCTAAGTTACCTTCATTCAAATGATACCTTAGGCAAAAATCATCCAAAGAAAGCGTCCGTTTGTTCTGTATCCCAGCTTAACTGGGTCCTATTGCGCTCATGTCACTGCCAGGTTTGACCCCCACATTCCTCTCTTCACTTCCTCTGCTAACAAAATAACCTCCACAGGAAGCTGGATATGTCTACGTCTGTGTGACGCAGATGCCTACAGTGTTCGCTCAGTGATCAGAATAAAAACAGGGCGTGGCAGCTTATGAAACAGTTGATACAGATTATTTTGTGACTTTCGAAACAATTCTGAGGCAGCTGTCTGAAAGAAATACAGCACAAGCCACGAGCATCATTTTACATTTTGCAGTAGCCACATGAATGAAAGTTTAAAAAGGACAACATCAATAATGTTTTATTTAACCCAATGTATCCAAATGTTACATGTCAACATTGACACCTATACAATTATTAAAGAGTTATCTTGTACCGAGTCTTTGAAATCTGTTACGACATCTACGCTCACAGCACATCTTGATCCAAATGCTAAATTTTCATTGGGAATACTTGAGCTGCATTTAGATTTCATAAAATTCGTGGCTATTGATAGATTTACACGTTAAAGTTGTTCTAAATCTACCGAAAAGCTTTCCAATAACTGAGCCGAGTATTAGTTTTAAATTAATGAAGCAATAAATTCAGTTCCTCGGGGACACCAGCCCCATGTCCACTGCCATCGTCACGTGGGAAGGAGCAGCTGACCGGATGCTGTCTCTCTAAGCGAGAAAGGACTGTCCCTCTTCTCTTCCTGAGAAGAATGAGTCTGGGAGACAAAAGTTACCTGCCCAAGGGCCATAACCATGGGCAGACTGAGGCCTCACACCCGTCTTCTGACGCCCCATTCATTCATTCACTCATTCATTCATTCCACAAAGAGTGCTGTGCCTGCCGGGTACTGACCACCAACCACGCACTCACAGGTGAACTCGCCAAGCCCACTGCCGGTTCCTCTCCCTCCCACTCCTTACCACTCCCTAAGATGACAAGCGGTCCGGTTCTAACGGGAAGGAAAGCTGGCTGCGACAGCCGAAGCGGGATCTGTGGATCGCTGCGGGAGGAAAAGCATTCCCAGAGCAGCACTCACCTGATGAGGTTTTCCAGCGACTGCTCCTTCACTTTGATGTCTGTGGGAAGTGAAAACAGTGTGACCTTGGGATGTGATTGGTCCCTCTATCCAAGTCCCACATGGGAACCTGAGTTTTGGGGCAACACTCTTCTCAAGTTTCCAGAAAGCTCGTGTGCTTGTATTTAGCCGCTTTCCAACAGAACCATGGAGGACGGGAGCTTGTGGCTGTGCGCAGGGAACGGTGAGGAGGCACACCCAGGCCGGTCCCGAGGCCACCCCGAGGGGATGGAAGCTCCTCTGAGAGGAGAAGACGCGGGACGGAGTCTGACCAACACGGGCATGCGCGGCCCCTACCACTGAGCCTGCGGCGTGGCGTGCACGTCTACCAGCTGGTGAGGTCTGGGCGTGCTCCTGTCCTCAGCTGGTTTTTAGGCCCCGAAAGGTTAGTCACAAGGCATGTAACACAAACAGTGGGGGATTCTGATTGCAGGGGGAAAGTGACGTTTGCCTTCCTCTGAACAATCAGAGATGCCCTGACGACTTAAACACTTAAAAAAAAAATATAAATATATTTTATTGATTTTTTTACGGAGAGGAAGAGAGAGGGATAGTTAGAAACACTGACGAGAGAGAATCATCGATCAGCTGCCTCTTGCACACACCCTGCTGGGGATGTGCCTGTAACCGAGGTACATGCCCTTGATCGAACTTAGGACCTTTCAGTCTGCAGGCCGACGCTCTATCCACTGAGCCAAACCGGTTTCAGCAAGAAGAAACACTTTGATACCAAACAGTCATAAAGGATCAGGCCTTTCCAGGCACTAACCTGGGTCAGGCCCGGGATGCCCCGGGGGCTGCCACCTGGGTCTACCCTCAGGGGGCCCGGCTGTCTGTGCGTCACACACTGGACGCTCTGGCGCTCGGCTGCACTCGTCGGTAGAAGGTAGAAGGCAGAATCCCGCCCCCGCCTCCGAGGAACTCGGAATACAGAATACAGTGGCGACAGCTGCTTCCTCTCACAGGCTCACAACAGGCAGGTCGGCCAGAGTTCGCTTTTGCAACAATAACTCGAGTGCAGCGGAGGGCTCGCCACGGCCCTCTCCAGCTCTCCAGCTCTCCTGAGCGATCACTCCGTAAACATTTTTCTTAGAAAGGGTACTTACTGTAAGGTTTTCAAAAGTGACCCATTCGTTCATTCACCTGGAGTTTCTAAAATGGCATCTGCTATAGTGAAGATTGTAACGTAATATTTTTTTTAATGATATGCTCTACAGAACTGTATTTTAAAAATGAAGAGGATTGCTCTGGCTGGTGTGGCTCAGCGGTTAGCATCAGCCACAGGCCAAAGGGTTGCAGGTTCAATTCCTGGCCAAGGGCACGTACCTCAGTTGCAGGTTCGTCCCCAGCCTATGTCGGGGCACATGTTGATGTTTCTCTCTCCCCTCCTCCTCTGCCTCTCTCCCCTTCTCTCTAAAAAAAACCAAAGGGGGAAAAATATCCTCAGGTAAGGATTAAAAAAAGAGAAGACTCTTGGGAGAATTTTTATAGGTAACCTAGAGGCCCAGTGCATGAAATTCGTGCATGGCGGGTGTCTCTCTGGTTTGAGGATTTGGCCCCATGCGATCTCATACAGGGTGGGGCAGAAGGAGGGTGACCGCTGTGAGAACGTGAAACAGCTTCTTCTCGTGTTGTTATTTATTAATTATTTTTCCACCCGAATAACTGTAACCCTACTTTTGCCCCACCCCGTGTTTCAAACCCTGTTCCTGCTTTTGTTAACGGAGCAAAGATATATTGTTTAGCCTTGTTTGTCTTTTCCCAGGAAAGCCAAGAAAAGAGGCAGCTCTTAAAGAGTTCAAGAGCCAGAACTCCAGTCTGTCCTTCCTGCCTCTCCACACAATGGAGCTTAATTGTTCTTTTAAACTTCCGCGTGTGCAACAGGCTAGTCCCAACCCCTGAGGGCGGGACCCCCGTCTAGCGCTTCCTCACAGTTCCAGAGGGACCCACCCTGCGTGTGCACTGGTGTGTGCACTCAGCAAGTCCTGCAGGCTGACCTCTAATGGCCTCTCCAGAGTTTCCGAAAGGTCAGCTACTTTTCTGCCCGCCCCGCACCCCCCACACCCCCATTTTATGGTTACACGAAGTTTGTGGGCGGCCTGCCTCTTAAGGCTCTCCTCTCCCTGTTCTGTTGTAAAGCCGCTCAGTTCTACTGTAAAACACACACAAGCATTCAGGCTCCCCTGAACCCCAACTTCTAATCAGCCAGCTGTCATACTTCACACATTGCGGACCAGTAGTTTATTGCTAGCTTTACCCAGTGGCCAGATAAGTTTCTATTGAACAAGTACAAAAACGCTTCACATAAATGTTAAAGGCACACTTTAAAATTAAATACCTGCCGAAACCGGTTTGGCTCAGTGGACAGAGCGTTGGTCTGCGGACTAAAAGGTCCCAGGTTCGATTCCGGTCAAGGGCACGTGCCTTGGTTGCGGGCACATCCCGGATAGGGGGTGTGCAAGAGGCAGCTCGTTGATGTTTCTCTCTCATTGACGTTTCTAGCTCTCTATCTCTCTCCCTTCCTCTCTGTAAAATATCAATAAAATATATTAAAAAAAATTAAATTAAATACCTATTGCATTTTGGAGTTATTTATTATATGCTCTTACAAGCTAACATCTTTTTAAAGTGTGATACTTGGTAAAACACTGTGTAATATGAAGCGAGAATTCTTGTGATCCGTTCACAATGTGTTAACTGAAACCAGGTAATGGGAAGGAGACTGAGGATTCGGCGGACACATTAGAGGAGGTAGATCACATGCAAAGGGCAAGACAGTAACTCCGTTAGGGCCTGAGGGCCACAGGCCCGAGTCCTGGCTACTTACGGCTCCCACCGGGCAGGACGCAGCCACGGGGGACGCATGAATCAAGCAGAGGCGTGAGGCACAGAGGGGGACCAGCTCCCGAACTATCTGAGGGATCAGCCTCCCGTCCCCACCCCCGAGAAACGCACACGTGGCTCCAAGGGGCCTGCGCGCCCTTACCCAGTAGGCACAGCGTGTGCATGCCGTTCTGTCTGTTCTTCTTCACTTTGTCAAAGAAGCTCTCCGGTCTCCACGTGTCTGTCCAGAAAACAATGGACACTGTCTCTCCAAACTTATACAGCTAGAAGAAACACACAACCCTCGTTAGCGACGGGGCCGTGCGCCGAGCGCTAGTGCACAGGTGACAACCAGAATAAAAAGCGAGAAGTGGACTCGAGAGGGGAGGTGGGTGGGTGCGTGGCCACCTAATCTGTCCCCAAACGGAAAAGGCATCTAAGTTCTCGTGGCCCGGCAGCCGGCGTGCTGCCGATGTGCCTAGTGTCTGTATGTGGTACAGGCTCGTAACCAACCAGCTTGTGACGCAGCGAGGCAGCTGCTAAAAACACCGCAGCACCAAGTATTTGGTAAGGAACAAAGCAGCAGGGACCCCTGAGCGGTCGGCGGGGTTCACTGGGGAACCGTATGATCCTGACCTAACAGGCTCGGAAGGAGCAAATAAATGACTGGAGGTCTTGGGGCAGGTTAGGAAAGAAGAACCTGGCACCGAGGTCCGAGGAAGGGCCTCCCGGCCCGGCCCCTCAGTACCGCCCCCGCCCCCTGCTGTGCATGTGCACTGGCCATTTGCAAGGATGCTCGCTGCTGCATCGTGACAAGTTCAGCTCTTTGCATTCTTTTTTTTTTTTTTTTTAAAGGATTTCAATGGTTGGATTTGTATTTTTTTTTAATTGATTTTTTTTTTTTAAATATATTTTTTTTTTTTTGTACAGAGAGGAAGGGAGAGAGATAGAGAGCGAGAAACATTGATGAGAGAGAAACATCGACCAGCTGCCTCCTGCACACCCCCCACCGGGGATGTGCCCGCAACCAAGGTACATGCCCTTGACCGGAATCGAACCTGGAACCTTTCAGTCCACAGGCCAATGCTCTATCCACTGAGCCAAACCGGTTTCGGCAGCTCTTTGCATTCTAAAGAGAATGCTGGGCCCTGGGATCAGGTTCTGAAATAGAAGTCTTAACCCTATGAAAACCCTGTAAGAGAAACGCTTGTTCAAGAAAATTACACAGGCAACCGCACAGAAACACTTTCAAGGGGCTGTGGTATCTCAGGAGCCCTGGAGGCGAGGGCCTCACTCACAGAGAAAGGGACGGGGCGCTGACACGGGCATTGCGATGCCGGTCACACACGGGCACTGGCCGCCTCATTCTCTCCGAGCCGCCGGATTCGGGGGATTAAAGGGCGCCTCCCGCCAGCGCTGCTTCCTGGACCCTGATTTATGGGCTGCAGCCATTCTCAGGCCTGCGGTGGCGCAAACTGCTTCTAGAATCCTGGAACGTTATGCAAACAGTTGCACCACTGGATTCCAGGACCTCAAGGAACAGAAGGACCCGTCTTTGAGCGGTTGCACAACCTGACACCTGCCGGGAAGCTGAAAAGCAACAGCGCGGTGACAGGAACCGAGGCTGCAGGACCAGCGGCGCTTGGCTGACAGGGGCCTCTGCGTGGTGACCACCTCCCCTCCGCAAACACAGCTGACCCAGAGCAAGACGTGGAGGCCTTACCAGAGCCTGCTTCTACAGATCAAGGCACGCTTTTGTCTGTTGGTTGGTTGGTTGGTTGGTTTTAACCTGCACTGAGTTACACAGAAAGCCGTTTATCTAACATGATATGGATTTGTCTGTTGAAGATAAAAACTCAACCCGGAATGGGCCATTTGGTTCTATGTAAAACACCATCTGGGTAGAGTGAGGAGAGACACAGTAAGGCACATGTTGGGCAGCAAGGAGCGATGACCTCAGGTGAGGTGGAGGCTGGGAGTGCTGTCAGGGCACCTCCCTCTGACGGAGCACCTGCGAGGACGTCCCCAGAGAGGCTGTCAGCGAGGTCGGAGGAAGGGTAAGACTTAGGCTGTGGCAGCTGCGCGCCGGGGCAGGCTGAGATGGCAGGGACAGAGGGACAATCTTGGGCAATATTTAAAATGGCACTTGAGCAACTTACCTAAAAATAACTATTGCCCGACTTGCCTCTAACCAGATCTCTACCTTATGACATCTTCCCATAAGCTAACCCGCCCTTTCCAGCTCTGCAATGTCCATTCCTGTCCACTCCTACTAAGCAATGTACCTGGATTCTTCTCCCTGACAGCCCTCAAAACCACTTGTCTGAAAGACATTAATAGTTTTCTAACTTGTTTCAATGCCACCAGTAGTCCCTTCATTTCCAAAGCGCAGATGCTTTGCAAACTCCATTTTATAATTAGGCTTTAAGGCTTTCATTATTTTATATCCATGTAAAAAATATTTTGTCACTTTTAAGTTAAAAAAAAATCTTCTGTGCACATGGAGAAATGAGTCAATTTAACTTGCTAAGACCATTATTAAGCCTCACGCCTATCTCTTATATGCCTGTGCTTTTGAAATCAGATCAGTGAAGTCTGTAAAGTGAAAGAAAGCTGAGCTGGCAGACTTGTCAAAAAGCGCCACTAAACCACATAATCGCAAGTTACTGGTTTTCCATACAGACTCCTGGTCTTGGCATTGGTTTTTAATCCTCATGCATCTGATGAGCATTGACGCCACACGGGTTTTTGCTGACTCTGGAAAGACTGTGTACAGGGCCGCACACGAGGCACATAAAACCGAATGACTAGGCCAGTGGTCGGCAAAATGTGGCTGGAGGGCCACATGCGGCTCTTTGGCCCCTTAAGTTTTAGCAAAAGCCAGCTTAGGAGTAACCTTATTAAATTAATTACAATGTACCTATCTATATAGTTTAAGTTTAAAAAATTTGGCTCTCAAAAGAAATTTTTCTCTCTCATTTTTTTAATTAAGGTATCATATGTGTACATACCTTATCAATCCCCATCCCCACCACTCCCTTACATGCCCTCCATCCCCAGAGTTTTTCGTCCATTGGTTATGCTTATATGCATGCATACAAGTTCTTTGGTTGATCTCTTATCTCCCCCATATCTCAAAAGAAATTTCAATCGTTGTACTGTTGATATTTGGCACTGTTGATTAATGAGTTTGCCGACCACTGGACTAGGCAGATAGAAGATGACGAGATTTATATCCTCACACACAAATGAGTGAATCCATATAGGAATTAAATGAAAGGATCGTCATTTAAAGCACATAATCCCAAAGACAAGATACAACTTGGGGGAATAAATACATAAATAAATAAGCAATTCAACTTGTTGCCTATCAATTATATGCATGGCGCCATGATGAAGTGCCATGGGAGGCGGAGTCCGTGATGTAACACACATACACACGGCACTCAGCACAGGATGGGTTTACCAGGATTATCTGAGTAGGCGAGTGGCACAATCAGGTCCACACAAAAAGCCAACTATAAATGGAGGAGAATGATGGCTTTTAAAGCAGGAATTAAACATTCTAGTGGAAACGGAAAAAGTGTTTTCCTAGGCCCATTATTTAGCAGGCGGTCAAAAACAATTCCAGTGATCAGACTAGAGAGCGAATTGGAGGAGTCCCTCGAGGCTACGTCACTGTGCAGGGTGCAGTCCACTTACTACCTGGCTTAGCCTTGTGCTGGGTTAGACTGTCACCTCCACGGCAGCCCGGGGACAATAAGAAAGCCCGGGTAATGCCTCTGAAAACCCCCAGGGAGAGCTGCTCTGGAGCCCACATGCTGGCTGCCACAAGTAGAAACCCCTTACATAACCAGAGCAACAGATGCAACAAGCGAGGTCACTTGCGAAACAGCCGGAGAAAGTGGATGTACCGCGTCATGACGAGAACATTTTACAACCTTGACCTGAGGTCAACCACAACCGAAAAGGCAGGCTTTCGTTGTTTCAATCGTTAAAATGTTTTATTGTAATTACAGAAACAGTCAACGCCACGTTACGGCACTGTATTATTTTCTGCGCTACCCTTGATCCCCTTCTCAGAGGTACCACGGCCTCCTCTACCCCATTCATTCGCTGGCTGCCCGCACGGCCAGCAGTGTCCCCATTGAGCAAGCCCCTGTGCCCTCGGGCTCTTTTCCGGAGCACTTAAGGTAACTCAGAGCCCGTCAGAGTACCAGCGTGCCAACTTCCTCCCAGGGCCCGCACTTGTCTACATAACATTTCAAAGACTCATGGGCAATAGAGATGGAAAAGGCCGGTTAGTTGACCACACCTGCCCTCTCTGCCAGCAGAAGCATGTGAGGGAAGAAATCCTACCACTTTATGCTATTTTAACGACGTGAATTACTAATAAGTGCTGTTTATATGACGTGATTTCATCCTAAAATCGCTTGTTTTTTAAAGCAATATTTCTTTTCCAAAATTCAGACGGCATTACAGGGATCCAGACAGCGATGCTGCCACACCCAAAGCCAATACAACGGAGCTAAGCATTAAATCCAGGTCAACAACATCTCCAAGCACCAGCCACTGACAAGGAAGCAGCCCTGCGGGGCGTTTTGAGAGACAGGAGATGAGAACCTGGAGCCCCGCCCTCGTGTGTATCACCTGAAAGGCATTCGTCTGTGATGGTGAACACATACAGCTATTCCGATCATTCCAAGGAAAGGACAAGATAACATGGAACAAGAAAACATTTGTTTGCTCTAAACCAGTGGTCGGCAAACTCATTAGTCAACAGAGCCAAATATCAACAGTACAACAATTGAAATTTCTTTTGAGAGTCAAATTTTTTAAACTTAAACTATATAGGCAGGTACATTGTTATTAACTTTAGGGTCCTCCTAAGCTGGCCTTTGCTAAAAATTCAAGGGGCCAAAGAGCCATATGTGGCTGACGAGCAGCGGTTTGCCGACCTCTGCTCTAACCCCTCAGAACCAAGACTGTCGGATTAAAAATAACTAACTTTACACACTAATAACCGCAAAGTTGGCTTAAAAGCTTCCTATCCATGGCTTTGGACTCTTTCACAGGTTCTTTTAAGAGACGCTGCAGGCACAGAAGGTAACACTGCATGGCAGAGCATCCGGGAGAAGGTGAAGGCTTTTGGAGTACCGAACCACTTTATACGTAATTAGATTATATTTACTTCTTAGGTAGGCTCACATTCATGTAAGACTGAAATCCTTCTCTAGTTAATTTCAATGGTCTATTCCAAGGGGAGGAAGGGGAGACCTAAGTTATAGAAAAACAGTATAAAAAGTTTTAATATAAAAAAACTGAGTTCACACCAATGTAGTATAAAATAATAATGTCTTATAGTCCATGAGATATGATAATTGTAAAAAAAATAAGCCCTTTTTTAAAAAAACCACTTCCCCGTGGTTACCTGCAGACCGCAGCAGCCCACGGCGTTCAGGATGGAGGCGTTGTGGATGACGCGGTACGGGATGCCCAGGCTGGTGGCCCTCAGAATCAGGTCGCTGTGTGTCGTAGCCCTGGGAGGAGAGCAGACCGGGTTGGGGGTCAAGTAACCAACCAACCTTTTTTTTTTTTTTAAATTTAAAAAAACTATTTTTATTGATTTTTTTATAGAGAGGAAGAGAGAGAGATAGAGAGTTAGAAACATTGATGAGAGAGAAACATTGACCAGCTGCCTCCTGCACACCCCCTACTGGGGATGTGCCTGCAACCAAAGTACATGCCCTTGACCGGAATCAAACCCAGGACCCTTCAGTCCGCAGGCCGACGCTCTATCCACTGAGCCAAACCGGTTTCGGCCCAACTGGCTTTTTAAGACAGTACAGCCACAATCTGTCATGCGTTCATGCCAATCAGAGGGACGAGGGCACTGCCTTCCCGCAGCTCCTGGGCTGCAGCAGGAACAGTCAGCGTGCACATGCCCTTTGCGAGGCTGCCGGTGGCAGCGGCAGGGGGAAGGGCAGCTTGCCTTGCTCTTCTGTCCCATGCACACCTGCACAGACACCCGTGGGTGGGTCCCAGCAGCTCAACTCCGGAGCAGCGACTCCCACGCTTTTCGGGGTCAGGGCCCAAATATGACAGAGCCAGAGCTACTCCTTGGTCTCTGCTCTGTTCCAAGGGGTGGTTTTTGTACTTGAAATCCAACATGGCGGGATGCACAGAGCGTGAGCATCGCCTGTCCATCTTGGTGGCTGCAGTTAGAGCTGGAGCTGATAGAGCTGTGGCTGATAGAATCAGCCGGATTTCACCCCCATTCGGCAGTCACATGATATAGAAGTGTCTTCCCTATTGCCTTTCCTTTTTGGAACTGAATCAAATGCTTATAATTAGGTAAGACTGTGTTGAAGAGAGAATATACAAGGGTGGGCAAATGTAGAGGTACAGCTGTAAAACAAACAACTACAATAGTAAGTAACAATGCCAGAATAAACTGATTTGTGTAGTCACCACTGTTCGCCTCCTTCTGCCCGCCCTGCATGTAAATATAAATGCAGAGCCTCTGACCACATGGCTTCAGACGGCATCACTAAAGAGGCCTTTCCCCCTGAAAGCCCGGGCCTGCTGGGCCGGCAGCATTAGCATGTTGGAGCCGCTCGGACAAGGCATACCAAGTAGGAAGATCAAGGGCTGGCGCCCCAGGAGGCCGTCATAAGCAGATTAACGGCTGCCCCCCCCCCCCGACCCCCCGAGGAGGCCTGTTTTTAATCATCCACATACAATAAAAACGAGTATGAAAATCAACCATTAATTTGATTTAGAGTAGGCTTCTAAAACATAACACGGATGGCAGTTAAAAAAAAAAAAAAAGGTTCTTAATAGCACAGCCAACAGAATTTCACGACTTATCACTACGATGAAGGAAGACTGAATCATGGACTTTGGTGAGTGATTTAAATAGATGAGCAGGAAGGAAATCTGGTTGAAAACTGTGTCTCTATCACAAGTTCATTTAAAATGACCAGATGCGGTTGGGATGCTAGAAGACTAATGACCTGGCAAAGGGTTTTGATTCTATGGAACTGACATGAATGTGATTAAATAAGCCCCCCAGATTTCCGCTATAAAAATGTGATGATAACTGGTATTTTATCATCACGATTATCTAGGTTATACTGCTTTCATGAGAAGGAAAAAAACAAAACAAAACTGGTTTGAGACACAGCCTTGAACCAGTATACTGAGCACTCCTTCCATGCCAGGGCTCGGGGAAATGCTTCATTTATGGGGGCTGGAAAAGTGTGTGTGTGCGTGCGTGTGCACACGCAAAGACAAACATTACTATTTATGGGCACATGGTTCTGTCACAATCTCACACACACACACACACACACACACACAGGACTATGGAGTCACATGCCCATAAATGGTAATAAATGTGTCTTCATATGTGTGTTCCTTGGAATTGCTAAGAAGGCAAGTTTAAGAGGAGATCCAAGAATGTTTCGATCAATGGCATCAATAAATTAACGAATATCATGGTGACCAATTTGAATGTGTAGCACTTGGTATGCTTCTGGTTAATTCTATTTGATGGCAGACATTGTACTGCCAGGTTTGGTAGAAGTATGGTTGGAGACCTGGAAATTCACTAATATTTGCAATGACCTGGTAAAGATGATACTCTCATGAACTACTGGAAGCTATAAACTGGCACCATCCTTTGGAAAACTAATTTGACAAGATAACGTCTATGTTTGAAACTTTTGACCATTTTTTTTTCTTGGTATTTTAAACCTACTTTAGAGAATCTATAATAATAAAAGTGTAATATGCTAATTAGACTGGACAGCTGAACGACCTTCTGGACGTCCTCCCAGACAACCTTTCAGATGAAGCCGGGACTGTGAGGGCTGAGGCAAGCCGCCGAGGTTGCAAGGGCCAACCTCCTTGCACGAATTTCGTGCATCGGGCCTCTAGTCTACCATAAGAAAACAATCTAATGAGTGGGGATGGGAAAGTGGGAGGAGAGAAGAATCGTATACATTAATCCCCATGTGGCAGGCTTAATTACATTGAAGAAACAAATCGGCTAATGATAACAATGAGGATGCTTACTAGACAGTTAGGAGGTGCCCAACAAGTGCATCACATGAGGTAAAAACACCCCAATGACCTACTTGAGGGTACCCAGAAACAGGTGAAGAAAGGTGTATTTTTGCATGTGTACATCATGAGGGAAAAGGCATCCATATAAGGATAAAATAACCATGTGATCATTTATGTTATACTAGAGGCCCAGTGCACGAAGATTCATGCAAGAATGGGCCTTCCTTCCCCTGGCTGCCAACACTGCCTTCGCTCCAGCCCAGAGCTGCCTTTCCACCTTCCCACACTGCCCAGAGTGGCTGGGCCGGTGCAGAAAGCCTGAGTCATCACCATGGCAATGACACAAGCATCCCACCCCCAACCGCTAGGTGCCTGCATATGCAAATTAACCCGCCATCTTTGTTTTGGGTTAATTTGCTTACCCACTCCTGGTTGGCTGGTGGGTGTCACGCATCTTTCTCTTTGATTAGTGTAGATATTACTTTACTACAGCTTAGAAATATTTTAAAAAGAACTTAAGGTTGTACAATTTTGCCTTTAAAATATTTTTTTTAACCAAATAAGGGGAAAGGGCCTTAAAATGTAAACAAAGGACACGTTTCCTGCTGTCATCCACAAAGAAGCATTGCAGTGCCTTGCTGCATTCTGTATTCCCTTCCTGGTTTGCCCATAACATCCGCCCATACGCTAATTCTTCAAGGCCCAAGTAAATTTTACACATCCCCTCCCATCCTGTCTCCAACGACTGTGTCCTCAACTATTATATCCCAATAGTCATCCAGTGGGTGAATAAAAAATAACCAGAGCACAGCAATTATTACATAAGTCAGAATCCAGGATTATACCTGGTTAGTCACTGACACGGGACAAACAATTGCCTGAGAATCCAAAAAAAGAGAGGGGGCACTTGCTCCTGAATGAAATAAGGGAGGGGTCATAGGAGAGGTGGCACATGAGCAGGGTCTCAGAGAACCTACTGTTCTACTAAACAGAAACGGGGGGTGACGACGGCCAATGCTGCTGTATGGTACGTCTGACAGGACCCAAGTCTAATAATGATACCCAACCCCTGGCACGTCATACGGCTACCAATCACTTTCTTTCTAACAGACACGTGCACACCATCATTCCATTCTTTTGAAAAACATCCTTGGTGGTGGGCTCACAGTGATTAGATTATCCTGATGTTCCTTAAACATGCGACATAAATCTCAGGTCACCAGCTGGAGACAAAGAACTCTTCTGCCCGGCGTGACACCAGAGATGGATGATGCCCGACAGACAAGGGGAAGCCCAACCTCTTAAGTCCTGGGGAGGGGCAGGGCTCCCTAGTGGGCATGAGGAATTGAAACCTGAGCTTGACAGATGCTGAATTTGAGGCAAGTAAAAGGACAGTAATATTGTGAAGGGTGAGATGATTAGACAGGAAAAGGCCCAGGCAAAAGGAAGCAGAGATGCTTGCAATTTACCTGAGAAACAAATGGCAGGTAGGACGCTGGATAACGTAACAGGCTTACTTACGCGTGATAGACTAGCTCTGTCACTGTTCTAAGTGACCGCCTCAAGAACAGCAGAAGCAACGGTATACACCCCTCCCAAGCACCTCTTCTTCATTAACATCGAAGACGATGAAGTTCAAACTAGACAGAGCCCATGCAAACAGCGTCCCCCATCAAAACCGGGCAGGTAAAAGGTTTTCAATGTAACAGAATGATTCTTATTGATTAAAAAAAAAAAAAAAAATTAAAAAAAGAAGGAAATGCAATTAAAATGCGAATACCTGCTTTGACTTACCCAAATGGATCACCAACCACAAGGAACGCCACATCGCTGACATCAGCACCCTTTAAAATATTATCGGCTTCTTGCTCCACTTCTTCTCTGTCAGCGAGAATCAATTTCCTTCCGTAGAACTCTTCCTGTGGATGCAAGTCCAGGATCAAAATGAGACGGCAGGGGACCATTTTCACACACGGGCACCAATCTTTGTCTGGGGCTGGTGTGGGTGATTTTGGCAGTTATCCAAACAGACCATTTGATCCAAATTCATCACTGAGTTCGCAGTCTATATCATGTTGTAATTAAACTCTGTCTTTGGGGCTCTCTTCATATCCCAAGAGGAGGCAGACCTCCTGACATCTGAGGCTTTTTGCATCTGAAATCTACCTCTAACTTTGGATCCAGTAAACCAGGCAGAGCATTGTAGGGTAAACAGGGAATCTGTGTGTATGCCTGAGCCTTCCTTCGGAGACACAGTAACACAGAACAAGCGTATTAAACAATAATTATAGATGGACACGGGAGTTTGGGTTTGGTTGAATTTTTCACGGGAAAAATCTAAGAGACTTGGCTTAAAAGGTCACACCGATGACAAATGAAAGAAAACGAAGGTTTCGTTGTTTACAGGAGCAGCAAACATTCCTATCTAATTGCGGGAAAGACTAATTTAAAACGGCATGTCCTAGTTACTGCCAAGAAAGAAGAGGCAGGGGAAAAAGAGAATTCTGGAACATACAGGAAGAGCTCTGGGAGCGTATCCCCGGATGTCAACTCAGGAGAAGGGACCCCGGTCCCGACCTTCCCTGGAGGGCAGCGTGCGGGCGCGGAGAGGGCCTGCTGTGCTGGTGGTCAGGCAGTGGCTACAGCTACTCCGCAAGGTCAGGAGTCTCCTAACAGACTTCCTGGACAGTGACGTGTGGTCCAAATGCAGTGAGAGAGGAGGCGTAGCTAAGCAATACTATTCCTGACGTTTGCTAGAATCACAAGGATTACATGCTGAGTCCCACATTGTAAGGATTGCTGCAACGAAGGAATGTCTGGTTCTCACTGACCTGACAAGCAGCTGGCTATATGGACAAATGAGTTAGCATCTGGAGATGAAGGCTATCGGTCCACGAGGGATGGATAAGTGTTCCTAATGCTTAACTAGGATCTGTTTCTCCAACGTGAAAGGAAGATCCTCTCCCCTGTGATTCTTAGAATGTTCCAGAGGTTCCCAGTGACCATGATGGTTTTATGGACAAGAGATGTTCTTTATTTTTGCCTTCACCACACACATCTAGATGGAGTGACTCTTGAGCAGGGACCAGAACCTCACCTTTTAAGTCATTTTCTAAGACTCAGATTTTGGGTAAGGACAGATGGGGGGAAGAAGGGAATAGAGGTCACAGCTGATGGCCACAGTTTTCTCAGTGCCAAGTCCTTCACTGTCCTTTTCGCTGTTCCTCCAAGATCCGCCCACAGCTTTGGACAGAACCAGGAGGGAGCTGGTGTCCCGGGGAAGTGGGTTAGGAAGGGAGAGAGGGAACAGGTACACCGGGAAGAAACGGAAGATATTTTAGTTATGCCCAAGCACAAATATAGGGAACCCTGAGCTTTCTCCCCCATGCTCTGGCTCACGGTTATATTTTCTTCAGCAAGAAATGCTCTTGCCCTGACTGGTTTGGCTCAGTGGATAAAGCGTCAGCCTGTGGACTCAAGGGTCCCCCAGGTTCGATTCCAGTCAAGGGCATGTACCTTGGTTGCGGGCACATCCCCAGTGGGGAGTATGCAGGAGGCAGCTGATCGATGTTTCTCTCTCGTCGATGTTTCTAACTCTCTATCCCTCTCCCTTCCTCTCTGTAAAACAAAAACAAAAACAAAAAAAACCCCAAAACAATAAAATATATAAAAAAAAAGAAAAAAAAAAGAAACGCTCTCGTTCACCCCCTTGTTATCGATAAATCGTATCTACAATAACAACATGTGTACTAATTCACTTACATTGGGCTCTGTGCTCAGGCACTGTTCTGAAAACTTATGTAGTACAGGAGTTCATTGAGTCTTTACCAGAATAGGAGGCAGGCACTATGTTTTCATCCCCCTTACAGATCAGAAGAAGAGCACAGAGAAGCCACATGACTGACTGCCTGGGACACAGAACCTTAGCTGACTGCACAGCTTCACATCACCAAATGGGGCACAGGCCGGAGGCATTCTCTGCAGGGAGCTGGGGCCCCGAGGTTAGTCCCCTTTGGCCAGGAGGACAGAGGCACTGCTTCCTCCATTTGCCCTGCAGAGCTGCATAAATATGACCATTTTCTATTCGGACCACGAGATAAATGTGACTAAAAGAAACAAAATACAACAAAAAGACTAGGAATGCATTGTTTTGAAACAAAGCTCAAATCCCACCTATTCCATTATATGCCCTGACCATCCCAGATGAAGCAACACCTATCCCAATTGTAATGACTAATCAGTTAATTACTTAACGTGAGACAGCTTCTACTACCTGTTTGGCAAAAGTGAGAATGTGGACTTAAATAAGATCATGTAAGTTTTTTCCAGCAATATAATTTTATAGTGTCCCCCTCCCACTTCTTAAATTGTCCATTAGTATGTATGTCCTCCTGGGTATAATACAGATATATCACGAGTCACTTGCCAACAAACATCATAGTGTACGTCCCTGTATCGTGCACACAGGTACATTATACCAAAGGCATGTAATTATCCACAGAAATTGCCTAAAGAAATTCAAGATGTATACATCAAAATTAGACTCACCATCTCTAGTTTAACCTTGAATACTAGACAACACAGAAATGACACTGGCTGTTTGGCTGTGACGCTGAGAGGACAGAAGACCTGAATTTTTCTAGGGCACCTTTTCGTTGGGAAGAGCTGCTAGACTAGGCAATTGTAAAATTCCCTTCTTCCTCCTATAACCTGCTCATCGATCCTTTGCATCTTAGTTTACATTGCACTTGGAGTTTGACGATGAACCTAAACTTACTCCCTCCTCCAAAATTCAATGGGTCCTCAATGACAGCCACCTATAACGTATGATACACCAACGAACGCTGTGGCTACTACACCGGGATCACATAACACATACAGGCGGTGTTTGGGTACCAGCCTAACTGGGAGCTGTGTCTATTTTAAAGGTAAGACCTCTCTGGATAGACACAGGCAGATGGGCAATCACCATCCCTATGGAAATACTCGGAAGGGGAGGCTCTCAGCGTGGATTCTGAATAAGTAGCCAACTCATGAACTAGCCCTCCACTCAGAAAGGATTTCTTGGTGATCTCATGAAATAAGGGATTCTGATAACCATCCCCAGGACTGAAGACAACTCTCCCTTCCTATTTACTGGAGAAAGCCGCAACATTAGACTTGCACAGTGAGACAAAACGCCCTTTCCCCTCCAGGTCACTTGACTGGTGTACAATCCCACTCTCTCTCCCCAAACCCTTAAGGAGCAGGGGAAGTCTTTGAAAGGGTTTGTTTTGACAAGCAGACCCGCAAATCCGGTTCTGCTTGGTGCTGTCATGGAATCGGCTGCAGGCCTGCAATCTTCCCCGCGGGCTGGCACCTACCAGGGCTTCCTTCCCTACGGTCAGGATCGAGGTGTAGGCCTCCAGGTACACGCGGCTGCAGCGCCTCACCACTTCCAGGCCCTTGACTGTGATATCCTTGGCATCGCCCAGGCCCAGGCCGATCAGGTAAAGCATTTCCAAGTCCGGGGTGGGTGGGAGACTGCAGGACAAATGGACAAGAAAGACAGGCATTAGCTACCCCGAGGATCCCCGACGTCTAGCACTCCAAGAGGAAAACCAACACTCACCTGGAGCCTCCGCGGGTCCCAAGGAGGGAGGCTGGGGAAGCTGACTTCCCGCCTCCTAAGTAAGGATCGGTCAGGAATCAGCGTTCCTAAGCAGCCCTGTCCCGCTTTTCCTCCTGCTCCCCGCACAGAGCAGCAACCTGCCGGCGAGAGGATGGGCGTCGGTCCTCCCCAACGTGCTACCTGCAGCCTTTCCGCGGGGGCAGCCGTTCAGTTCGCGCCCAGCCGGGACCCACGCCGCTCGCTTTACCGGCGGTGCCGCAAAGCGCCGGCGCGTTCACGGCACTTTACGACAGCGCGCCGGCTTCCGCGCCGCCGAGCGCGGCGGGAGGCTCAAGTCTAAACCTGAGGTGACTGACGTGCCGGCTTCTGAGGAGGGACGAGGCCAGTGGTTCCGCATCGCTGTCCGAGCGGAGGGTACGTGAGGGAGCCCTGCTCCTCCCGACACGATGGAGGAAAAGGAGGGAAGGAGGGAGGGGAGGGGCCTTCCGATTTTGCCCCGGGGTTGCCCGAGGGCACAGTTCCTTTTCCCGCCGTTTTGTTCTGTTGTGATTCAGCGCCGGTCTCCCCGCTGGGGAGGTCTGCTGGGCACCCCAGGCCGCCTTGTCTCCCCGCTGAGGGTCCCGCTGGGCACCCCAGGCCGCCCGCCTCCCCGCTGAGGGTCCCGCTGGGCACCCCAGGCCGCCTTGTCTCCCCGCTGAGGGTTCCGCTGGGCACCCCAGGCCGCCCGCCTCCCCGCTGAGGGTCCCGCTGGGCACCCCAGGCCGCCCGCCTCCCCGCTGAGGGTCCCGCTGGGCACCCCAGGCCGCCTGTGTCTCCCGCTGAGGGTTCCGCTGGGCACCCCAGGCCGCCTGTGTCTCCCGCTGAGGGTTCCGCTGGGCACCCCAGGCCGCCCGCCTCCCCGCTGAGGGTTCCGCTGGGCACCCCAGGCCGCCAGTGTCTCCCGCTGAGGGTTCCGCTGGGCACCCCAGGCCGCCAGTGTCTCCCGCTGAGGGTCCAGCTGGGCACCCCAGGCCGCCCGCCTCCCCGCTGAGGGTCCCGCTGGGCACCCCAGGCCGCCTGGGTCTCCCGCTGAGGGTCCCGCTGGGCACCCCAGGCCGCCCGTGTCTCCCGCTGAGGGTTCCGCTGGGCACCCCCGGCGGGTCGTGGGGCCTGATTTCCTCGGGTTTGTCCCCTGCCCACACTCGGGGAGTCCCAGGGGGCGTGTCGGCACCAGCCTCGGTCACCCTCGGCTTCGGCAGCGCGGCTCCTCCCGCCCGAGGGGACTTCAGGCGTCACCCGGTGCTTCCACAGGGGGAATTCCTCCAGAAGCTCAGACGGGCGGGCGGGATGGGTGGTGTTTACTGTAAATGCTCTGGGTCGCTCGCTGGTGGCGTCAGCCAGAGACTAATTTGCTTAAGTGTTGATTATTCAGAATTCTCCCGCTGCTTCCCCTCGATGCCTTGACTTTATGTGTCTCTCTCTCCCCTTCCCCCCATTCCATCCACCCTTTGCACTTACACTATTTTGTTTTATTTCTTTTATTTCATTCATTTCATTTCACGATGTCAAAGAGGACAGGAGAGGGAAAGGGAGAGAAACATCAATGATGAGAGAGAATCATGGGTCTGCTGCCTCCCGCACGCCCCCCACTGGGGATGGAGCCCCACAACCCCCGCCTGTGCCCTGACCTCCTGGTTCAGAGGTCCATGCTCAACCACTGAGCCACCCAGGCTGGGCTGCTCTTACACACTTTTAATGAGTGATTCCACCTATTCTCCCTATGTGGATCCATCCCTCACACCATAAGCAAAGATCTTCGAAGATGTCAATGGAGAAACCTACTAACAGTTTTTTAACTTCCAGGAGAGAACATAGGAGGAAATATTTGTGACCTTATTTAGGCAGATTTAAGTCACCTCGCCTGTGAAACAGAGATAATGGAACCATCCCCCATAGCAGTGGTCGGCAAACTCATTAGTCAACAGAGCCAAATAGCAATAGTACAACGATTGACATTTCTTTTGAGAGCCAAACTTTTTACACTTAAACTTCTAACGTCACTTCTTCAAAATAGACTCGCCAAGGCCGTGGTATTTGGTGGAAGAGCCACACTCAAGGGGCCAAGGAGCCGTATGTGGCTTGAGAGCCGCGGTTTGCTGACCACTGCCCCATAGCATTATTGGGAGGATACATATCAAGGGCTCAGCACAGTGCCAGGCAGTTGGTAATATTGGCAGGCAGAGAGATGGAGTTTGGAATTTTATAGTTATCTGGTGTCTATCAGGTTATGGTATTACCGTTAGCCTCCTTTATCCCACCTGGATTGGTTCTCATTCTTTTTCCCATTCACGAAAGTTCTATGAAACAATGTAAGTTCATTCATCATAGACCAATCCTCTAAATACAATATTTTATTGGTTCATAAAGGGTCATTTTAATCAAACATTATTCTACTCTGATATATTGTTTTTGAGGAAAAATTTTCATTCCTCTCACTCTGCCATTGAGTTTAGCGCAGTAACCTTGGTTGGCAACAAATAAATGTGGATCCAGCAATTTGTTCATGCTTAATGAAGAAGGTGGCTAATGTTGCAAATGGAGTTTATTTTTTAATATTTTAGTAAGCAATTTACCAGTGAGCGGATAAGATGTGCACTTAGTATCAAAAAATTAAATGTTTACACTTTTTTTTAGATGTCCTACACCAATAAAAAGGAAAATTGTGGTACATTCATACAATACAGTACTAGATGGACAGCAATGAGAAAGAACCAAGTCCCAAGACAAGAAAGGCCCTGGAGCAGAAGATACTATGGAAATGGGCCGTAGCTTATATATAGCAAAGTCCACAAAATTGTAAGTAGTTTGACGAATTTTTGCATATGTGTATAACCATGTACCCACTTCCCAGATCAAAAGACAGCCCATTCCCTGCATCACAGAAGACTCCCTTTGTGTCCTCCCGTGAATGCCTTCCCCTCCCCAAGGTAACCATTATTTTACTCTGGTACTATAAATTAGTTTATCTATTCTTTTATTATTATTATTTTTTTAAATATATATTTTATTGATTTTTTTAAACCGAGAGAAACACCGATTAGCTGCCTCCTGCACACCTCCTACTGGGGATGTGTCAGCAACTAAGGTACATGCCCTTGACTGGAATCGAACTTGGGACCCTTCAGTCCACAGGCCGAAGCTCTATCCACTGAGCCAAACCAGTTAGGCCTCCTCTCCACTTTCTGTCTACTATAAATGTGTTGAAATCACTATTCATTTTTCTTTCTTTTTTTATATAATCTTTATTGTTCAGATTATTACAGGTGTTCCTCTTCCCCGCCCCCCCCTGCTCCCCTCCACCTGATTCTCTACCCCAATCCATGTCCTTACTCCCTGCCACTGTCTTCATCCATAGGTGTAAGATTTTTGTCCAATCTCTTCCCGTACCCATCAGACTCCCTTCCCCCTGAGAATTGTCAGTCCACTCCCTTCCTATGTCCCTGATCCTATTATATTCACCAGTCCATTCTGTTCTTCAGATTTTTTATTCACTTGATTTTTAGATTCACTTGTTGGTAGGTATGTATTTGATGTCTTTTTGTTGTTCATAGTTTTTACCTTTACCTTTTTCTTCTTCTTCCTCTTCTTAAAGAATACCCTTCAGCATTTTATGTGATCCTGGTTTGGTGGTGATGAACTCCTTTAGTTTATTCTTGTCTGTGAAGCTCTTCATCTGACCTTCAATTCTGAATGATAGCTTTGCTGGGTAGAGTAATCTTGGTTGTAGGTTCTTGCTGTACATCACTTTGAATATTTCTTGCCACTCCCTTCTAGCAAGCATAATTTCTGTTGAGAAATCAGCTGACAGTCATATGGGTACTCCCTTGTAGGTAACTGTTTTTCTCTTGCTGCTTGTAAGATTCTCTCTTTGTCTTTTGCCCTTGGCATTTTAATTATGATATGTCTTGGTGTGGTCCTCTATGGATTCCTCTTGTTTGGGGTTCTGTGCGCTTCCTGGACTTATAAGTCTATTTCTTTCACCAGGAAGGGAAAGTTTTCTGTTATTATGTCTTTCAATAGGCCTTCAATATCCTGCTCTCTCTCTTCTTCTGGCACCCCAAAAATCCAGATGTTGGTATGCTTAAAGCCGTCCCAGAGGCTCCTTACCCTATCCTCACACTTTTGGATTCTTTTTTCTTTCTGTCTCTCTGGTTGGGTATTTTTTGTTTCCTCATATTCCAGATCTTTGATTTGACTCTTGGGGTACGTTGACCTACAGTTGAGTTTCTGTATATTCTTTATTTCAGACAGTGTATGCTTAACTTCTGACTGGTCCTTTTCCATTTTTTTGGTATTCTCATTAAGGTCCTTGAAGGTCTGTCTCTTCAAGTTTCTCAGCGGTTTTTAGAAGATTCTTGAGTAACCTTATAAATGTGATTCTGAACTGTGTCATCCAGTAGTTTACTTTCCTCTATCTCTCCCATTCACGACATGCTTCTGTGTCTCTGCATTTTGGTTGCCTCCCTGTGTTGAATGAGTGGCTTTGTGTGGTAGGTGACCTATAGGGGCCACTAGCTCAGCTTCCCCAATCACCCGAGGTGGTTGCTCTTGGTACACTCTTTGTGGGCTGAGTGCAAAGTCTTGGTATAGTTAAGCTTTGATTACTGTTGGTACACTGACCTTCACCCCCCATGTATAACTAGATCTTTTCAACCAAAATTAAACCCTTGTCTATATCAGATTGCAGAATTACTTGGAGTGGATTCAGTTTCCATTTTCTAAAACCTAGGCAGGGCTTGGGATATGATTCCCCCTAACCTCATTTCCTTGCATTTTATTCTGTTTACTTGGTTTTCTGTTTGTTTTCCAGCAATATTTTCTGTTGTAACTTGGAGTGGCAGTGTTACTTTTCAGCATTTTAAACAACTCGCCATCAGAGCTCATTCAGTCTTTTGAAAATAGTGACTTATTTGGGTCCTGACCCCTAGAAAAATCTGTATTTTAATCATATCTTTGCTTCTGGCTATTGCTGATCTTTGGTCATTCACTAAACAATACTTGATGAAACTCTATAATAGTGTCAACAGTTTATTCCTTGAACACTAGTTGCAGGAACAGTGAAAAGCTGTGGTCTGGAGCCTGGGCTTTGGAATCAAGTGGTGT